GCCACGAAAATGGGGTGCACCTGCATGGATCATGGAGGTGCGAGCCACCTCCATGACCAAACCGATGCGTCGCTCAGCGACCCCATTTTGCTGTGGGGAGTCTGGCAGGGTGAACGTCTGGGTGATGCCCTCCGCACGACAGAAGCGACCAAGGACACCTGAGGCAAACTCGCCACCACGGTCGGAGTGAAGACGCAGGACAGGGAGACCTCGGTGGACACGGGCAGAGACAAGCCAGGGGATGAGAGCGTCAGGCACGTCGGCCTTGCGCTCCAGGGGAAAGACTGTGGTGTAGCGAGTGAAGTCGTCGACAAGCACGAGGAAGTAGTGCTCTCGACGCGGCCCATGGACGGGGGCGGGGCCCCAGACGTCCATGTGCAGGATCTGCAGCGGCGCGGCGGTAGGGGGAAACGAGGAGGAGTGAGGGGCACGGCGAAGCCGACCCTCGACACAAGGCGTGCAAGGTGGGGCGGGGGAGGAGGGAAAAGTCGAGGGAGTGAAGCTCGTAGTCACGCTGAGCAGCTAATGGTGACGCCAAGGTCCTGGAGGCAGCCGACACCAACTAGGTTCCTGGAGAACGAGGGGATATGCAGACCTGTGAGAGAGCCCGAAGGAACCGCCGGACAGGGAAGGGTGGTGGAACTGCGAGCGACTATGGGACCGGAGGGGTCAGCAAGAGAAACTGCAGCAGGAACAGGAAGCGGCGTCACGTAGTAGAGTCGCGGAAGAAACCGGGAAGCGCCACAGTCCAAGGTGAAGGAAAGCGAAGCAGTGGCGTCTGGCGACGGGGCGACGGAGGAAGCACCAAGGCTAAACAAAGCAGAAGCTCCTACGCCTGACGCAGCAAGGGAGGCTAAGCTAGGCACACCTATACTAGGCGACAAGGAGTAATAAGAGGGGAGCACACTAGAGTCATCAGCATACATCACATGCGGCAGAAACAATGGCATCCATGTCCATGTAAAAAATCTGAACCCTACGACTAAGCAAACTGTGGCCAGTTCGGGAGGTCGGGTGACGGGCCGAAAACGCTGACGAAACAGGTCGTCCAGGCGACGAAAACAGCGGGCAGTGGTGTGACCGATCTTACCGCAAACCGAAGCCGCGACGAGGACCGGTCTGGATCTGGTACTGACAGCACACGCCTCCCGAACTGCCACCTGGCACACCACCACGCGCACGACCACCACCAGCGCCTGGCCACCCGGGCGGGAGGGCACTCGCCTGCCTCGTCTGCGGCGGCTGCTACGGCTGCTGCGACTGCTGCTGCAGCTGCGGCTACTGGGGCGGCTGCTCAGCTAGACCTGGCAGGGTCCCTGTGTCCGCTCCACCACCAGACGACCCGACTCCACCACCACCTCCACTGGCACCCCCACCTCCTCCGCCGCGCCCAGCCTTAGGGCGGCGGCCCTTCCCCGGACGGAACTGCGCTGCAGCGGCGGTCTCAGCCACAGCTGCAGAACCATCGGAGAAGGTGCACTGAGCGGGGGCACAACCCTGAAAGATAGCGACCGGCACAGTACCGCTCGCCTGGGCGATAGAGCGGTGGCAGGTCTCAATAACAGTCAGGGTGTCTACGAAGTCTGTGAGGGTGAGGTCACCGGGGGTGAATGCTAAGGAAGCGGTCACGAGCAGCGGCAAGGCGGTCAGGGAGGCGGGTGGCAAGCAGGTAGAGGGTAGAGGTAAGGGGCGGCTGGTGGGCGCTAAGCTGTGCGTCAGTGCAGGCAGCGCGCCAGGCCTCATCTATCGTGCACAGGTGGGCAGCCAGGTCAGCGACAGTGGGGAAAGCCGCAAGGTCAGGAAAGAGCATCGGTAGGATCAAGCGACCCACCGAGGCAGCAGGCGGGGCGGAATAGCGCCGGATAACAGCATCTAAGAAAGCCTGGGCGGTAGTGATAGACCTAAAGCGAGGACGCCTCAGACGGGGGGAGGGCATTGCTAATGGCAAGCTGGGCGACAGCGTCACGGGAAAGCCAGACAGAGCAAGCGGAGGGCAGCGGCCGCAGTAGACTCGCGCTCAGCAGGTGTGGGGTCAGCGGGCACTACAGCAGGGGGGTCTGGGCAGGGAAGCATACCGTCAAGATGTGCCAAGAGCGGGTGGCCATCCTGCCGCTGACCAGTGAGGTGGCGGCGGAGGTCGGCTAGCCAGGCCTCGAGCTCCAGAGGCTGGCCCTCAGCGTCGAAGCGAAGCTCCGCCGCCATCAGGAACAGCGCAGGGCAGTACAGTGCAGTGCAGGGCGATACAGTGTGGTGCAGTGCGGTACAGTGCAGTGCAGGGCGATACAGTGTGGTGCAGTGCGGTACAGTGCGGTGGAGCGCGGTGCAGCGCGGTGCTGTGCGGTGCAGGGGGGTGCAGTGCAGTGCAAGGTGATGGAGAACCGTACCGGGGAGGGTGCAGTGCAGTAGCAGGCACGAAGAGCGGGCCGCACGCAAATCGGCGGCAGTCCGGCGGGAAGGTGAGCATGGGCCGGAGATCGACAGGCAGGGCGCGCGCAGGGGTCGGCAGAACGGGCGCGGGGGCCAGTAGCGGCGGGCGCCGGGCCGGCGAGGACGGGCGCAGGGGCCAGGTAGGACGGGCGCGGGAGCGGCTAGGACGGGTGCGCGGGCGCGGCTAGGACGGGCGCGGGGGCGGCTAGGGCCTAGGGCGGAAGCATGGGCGGGCGGTGGGACCTACCTACTGCTGATACCATCTTAGAACTGAGTAATTGATTGACTAGAGAACATGGGTACAAGCATACATATCTAAGGGTTGTACTCTCTAAGAGGTGACCCTATACAGTCTATACAAGCTCTAGATCTACTAATGTTTTGACAATATGGTGCATCAAACATACTATCTTGGGGCCTGGGACTGGGATTAAATTGTTGTTGCCAGATGATATCGTCAGCCTCTGCTTTATCACCCTTCCAATTCGTGTCAGCACTTGCGAAAGGGTTTCCATTCATTCCAGCGACATCGCCAAAAAGTCCGATTGTAGATAGACTGCCATATGCGTGAAGACCAATCGTTATGTCTGTAGCTGAAGGGCTGCAATTCCAGAATGGGGCTACTGAATCTGGCCCGGGGGGAAATGGTTCCGGAGAAAGAGCTGTTGCTGTAGAAGGCCTGCTACCAGCGAGCGATGCTTCCAGAAGCGAATCCGGGTCAAAAGAGCCTATGGCTTCAGAACCGTCAGCAAACATGGAAGTTTCACGCTCAAACAAGCTTGTCCCTCCAAGAAATGAATCACCTCCACTAGGGCCATCTGCGTCGCAAATGCTTCTGACATTGCCAAACATGATTTCAGAGACATCCCGTTGTGCTTCTCCGGAGCCAAATAGCCAGTCATGGACCCCAAACTCCTCCATGTCTATTTCCACAATAGGTATCCTTGGACTCGATGGTCCATCCAATAAGCGTGGATTGAATTCCTCACAGACCTGCGGCCAAACCTGTCAGTCATGTTCTGGAGAAAACTCCTCTGCACAATGATCATGAACAGTCATACCTTTCCGCCTGTTGGAAGCATAGCAATGAGTTCTGGAGAAGGTGATATATCGAGCTTGCTCATAAGTTTATCAGCTACTACTTTGCTGCAACAAAAACAGGATTTATAAACAAACAGCAAAGGCTCAATGGACTGGAAGACGCTGACATACCCTCCACCATTTGGAGCTGAGATGGCGTCCAAGTCCATGACTCTCTTGGCGATTGCCTTCAAGTTCTCTTTGACCGGAGAAAACGAGAACGACTTCCAGTCGCGAGCGTGACCTGACAACAAAGATAATATTCAGCCAAGACTTAGCGTTCCACACTTCTGACTCAATGCATGTGCAATCTCACCTCTGAAAATTTAACGTACCCAGCAATATTGCGTTTTCCTCCAAATCTCCTGCATCACTTGTAGCAGGTGCTTCCGGCTTCTCGCAGCCAAATGCCCAGTCCCACTCGTCCTCTTCTTTGGAACCTTCGGAATGAAATCTAGTCAGATCAGAACCTGTAAGTTAAACAAAAAACGGCAAGAAAAACAGCAAGGAACTTACACTGCTTGTCGTTAGCACGAGAATTGGAGCCAGGAGGAGCATAGCAGTTCTTCAAGGTAATGATCGCTTCTGTAATGTCACACAAACTATTTTCAGTGACACCAGATGCAAGCGGAGACAGGAATTAAGAAAGGTCGCTTACGAGGCGTGATGCATTGAATTTTTCTTTCCCTGGAATGCAGCCTGCAGCACATTACTTTAGTACTTGAATCTGAAGATGATCAACAACCAGCCTTCTGACCTAGATTCGTTGTGTTTGATTTCGGCTTTGTCTCGTAAAGAAGGACATCCCTCACGTGTTTTATCTGCACAACAGTCAACGAGGTGAAGAAGAGGTGGAGAAGTCTTCTTTGCAGCAGCAGGCGAAATGCATGGAATCACAAAAAGGCCATACCTGCTCGCTTAGACATCCGCAGTGGCGTGTGCTGCTCCAAGCTTCGCTTCTGAAATCGAAAGGTGGTGCCTTGTTCGACTGCCTTGTTTGCGCTATCCAGATTGTACGACGGCTTGACGATTCCAGACACATTCCGTGACGAGATAAAGTTTCGTACGGGCCCTTGGCGAGGAAGTGGCAACTTCTGAAAGAAAACGAAGTTACTCCAAGAAAACGCACTCGAAAGCCAGGGGAAAATACGATCAAACAAGTGATACCTCTTTCAAAGAGCTGACGCGTTCTAGTCCTCCCCATCCGCCTCCACGCCGTCGCTTCACCATTTTCCAGACAACCCCAACGAATCTGAAACTTGAAAAACGCTATATTGAAGAGACCGCTAAGCAAAGGAGTCAACCTGCTCTGCGGGATGAGGGGAAAGGAACGGAGCGAAACAGGACAAAGCTCTGAGACTGCTAGAGGAGTACTGCGTAAGGGGACCAGTAAACTCGGCCAAATCGTCACCCTGGAAAGTGGAAGGATTAGTGGGAGATGTGGGGAAAGGCTTGAACATGAAGCTGCAAGCGCACGCGATAGGGTGCACCACACCACAAGGTGTACCATAACTCACTCTACCATACCACATCCGATACTCTACACAATTGCTAATACTTATGATTCCTTGCTAATACACAAACTATCCTCTCGTGCAAGCCCATTTCACCGAAATGACGGGCTCTATGGGAGTGAATTGGAGATATGCAACTGAATAAATACAGACTACAACAAATCTCCTGCTTAATGTAAATTTGTGATGGCATTCCTTTGTGAGAAAGAATCACCCATGAACATGGTAGCATGACAGCAGGGTGGGTCTAGAAAAGTCCATCCTTGCGCAGAATCATCTTGCAGCAGCTAGTGCCGAACCCACACGCTCAGTAACAAAGGCAGATGCTTTGTGGACCATAGACACTCCTTCCATAAGAGCCTGTGAAGTGAGGGGAGAAAAAAGATAACACTTGAATACAAAAATCCACGTTGAAGGTACATACACTATAACTGCCTTACTTTGATTCCTTACCTTGACTTGCAGGGCAATGTCTCCAGTGAGCAGCACCACAGCGCCAGGAGCCACAAACTGATGGTAGTAGAGGCAGCACGACAGCACAGCATCATCAGCAGATAGCTTCTGGCTGCTGCTGCTGCCACTCACTTCCGCCCTCTCATGGCCTCCTTGCGCTCTGAGCCACGGGGCTTTGCTCGCCAAGGCGTCCCTCAGCAGCCTGAGGGCTCGACGGGCGTACACACCCCTGGCCCTCTCCTTGTCCTCCTTTATCCCATCCAGCTCACGTACGACTGAAGGGCGGGAGGACGGCAGGAGAGAAGGCATGGGAGAAGCTATCCGCCACACTCTTCAGCAACCCAGTCCAGATGCTCACAGCAACACCCATTTAACATCTGACATCAACACTCGGGTTGACTCTCACCTGCCTGCGGCAGAACCAACACCACCCTCTCATTGCTGGGAAAGCTGACCGCCACACTCCCCAGCAGCATGCCACTCACACCCACCAAAACCTTCATACCTTCTTAACCCTTCCCTCTCACTCACCTGCCTGTGGCAGCACCACCACCACCCTCTCATTACTGGGAAAGCTATCCGCCACACTCCCCAACAACCCGGTCCAGATGCTCCCAGGCGCACCCACAGCCGCAGCAGCAGAGATGGACGCCGCAACTGCAGCAGCAGCGGCAGCAACAGTGGCAGCAGGTGCAGCAGCAGCACCAAGGATCGACGAAGCAGCAGTGCCACCAGCAAGACATGCACTGGGTGCTTCTGTGTGCCCGACCCCTCTGTCTGTATTCCGGAGCCCCCATGCAATGAGCCTATAGAGCGCTGCCACCTCAGCCACGTCCAGAAACACGTTTGTGTCCACAACGAGGTACCACGTGGTTACCACATGCGAGGCACTTGTAACCGTTGGTATAGTGTACGGTGCCTGAGTAGCTGTGGGTTCAGTGTAAGGTGCATGAATATGCTGATGTGTTACAGCAGGTGCACTAAGAGCCGGGATGCTGGTAGCCACAGGAAGCCTGCTTGAAACGTTGTACTGTAGATTGTAACACGTATGTGTGACATCTTGATGGGTTACTGCAGATACAGCATGAGCTGCATGTGTGTTCGACTGCTGCTGGTACAGCTGCTGTTCCTGTTGTTGCTGATATTGCTCCCGTTGGTATGGCTGCCGTTGCTGCTCCTGCTGATACGGTTTCTGCTGCTGCTCCTGATGGTATGCCTGCCGCTGCTGGTGATAGGCCATCCATTTCTGATAGCCCTCGGTCCGCTCTTGTTGATAGTAATCGTGCTGCTCATGTTGCTGCTGCTGCTGCTGCTGGCGTTGCTGGTGGTAAGCCAGCCATTTCTTGTATTCCTCACTCTGCTCGTACTGAACGCACTTCTGCTCATAGTTACTGTGCTCGTCCTGCGTCTGTTCCTCAACCGCCTGAAACTGGCTGTTATGATGATAGTGCTCATGCTGGTGCTGTTGCTGCTGCTGGTACTGGTACTGGTTCTGCTGGCTCAGCTGCTGCAAGTGCTGGTCGCGCTCATGGTACTGTTGCTGGTACTGCTCCCCCCGTCCTTGCTGGTACTGGTAGCACTGCTGCTTCTGCTCGTTCTGGTCCCATTTCTCATACTGGCCTTCTGGCTGGTACGTCTGATGATACTGCTGCTGCTGCTCCTGCTGCTGCCACTGCTGCTGCATCTGCTTCCCCTGCAGCCCTCCCTCCCCACTTGCAGCAGCATCATAATAAGCGTCAACCCGCCCCTCGTACCCAGCACTCCTCTGCCTCCCACTCTCGTCATTCCTACTCCCGCTATTAGCACTATCCGTACAGTCATCTCCACCAGCGCTCGAGTACCCCGCATTCCACAGAGTAGTAAATCCACTGGACCCGGAAACGCTGCTCTGGCTGTAGCAGACGGCGTCAGAGCCGGAAACGCTGCTCTGGCTGTAGAAACCGGATGCACCGCTGGTTGTTGTAGCAGCAGCGGAGGTGGCAGCAGGGAGAGAGGGTAGAACGGGAGGGGCGCAGAGAGAGGACAGAGATGCCGGGGGAGGGTGCACTGCGGGTGACCCTGGGGGAGGCGCAACTGGGGGAGGGGGAGTTGCAGGAGGGGGGCCAGGGGGAAGCGGCGGAACCTGGGGAGGTGCGTTCTGGCTTCCGCCTGATGCGAATCGCTCCCCCAAAGGCACTCCGCCTGGGGGAGGTGGCGGAGGCGTCATGGGCGGAGGCCCAGGCGGAAGGGGGGAGTTGCGCTGGGGGGAACTGGGCCCTGCGGAGGAGCTCCAAGGGGAGCATTCTCCAGGGGGAATGGGCGGAAATCGCTTTCCCCATAGGCGCGATGGCCTGAGAGGGGAGAAGCAGGCGGAGGGGGCGGCGGAAGCGGGGTCTCTGGCGGGGGCCGGGGGGAGCGGAGGAAGTGGAGTAGCGGCCGTACTCGTCATATGGGGAAGGGGAGACATTGGAGGAGGCAGAGGGGGAGACATATGGGGAGCGGAAGAAGTAGGGGGAGTCGCTTTTCCTAGTGGCGGAGATGTGGGGGACTCTGTGGCTCCCCGCATGGTTCCTGGGCTCTGAAGGTTCGACGAGACTTCGTCATCCTGATCCCATGTGCCTGTCTGCTGCTGCTGGGCCCTATCCTGCCGCCCCTCTACTCTCTGCTTCCTCCCCACTCTCTGTTCGTCCACCAGTCGGCCAGCTGAAGAGGCGCCTGCAGGTGTAACACCAGGTGTAACTGTAGATGTAACAACGGCAGCAGCATCAGCATTTGGACAAGCAGTGGAGGCGCCGCTCTGAGGAGATTGCTTGCTGACCAAGGCTCTTAGCCTCGCCTCTGCTGCTGCAGCAGATGCAGCGGCAGCTGAAGACGCCACAGCAGCTGCTGCAGCTGGTAGTAATGGTGCTCTCGCCGTTGATCGCGCTACTGGTCGTTGTGCTACTGCTGCCGCCGCTGAGGTGGCGCTGCTGCTGGTGCAGCTTCTGCTGCTGCTGACGAGGCCCCCGCTTCCGCTGACGAGGCTTCTGCCCTTCGCAGGAGATCCCAGGATGCTGGGCGCGAAACCATGGTAACCAGGCGGGTAGAAATCGTTGGACCCAGAGGACTCTTCCGGCTCCGAGCCCTCATCGTCATCCCCGCCAAAGAGCTGCTCCGTTACTCGCTTCTGCATCTCCAGCGACGACAGTGCGGTATGCCGGCGGGGAGCAGCACCACCACCACCAGCACCAACACCAACACCGCTCCGAACCGATTTCTTCAATCCAAACGAGATCTTCGTCCCGAAGAGCCCTTGGGAACGACCATCATGATCCAGACTACCGCTGCCAGGAGAGCCTTCGGGGCGAGGGCCTCCCTCTTTCGCACCGTTCGTAGGGAACTTGCTGGCCTGAGTGCCGTCTTCTTCGCCGGACGGCACGGCAAACGCGGCTCCTCCCGCTCCGCTTTCTGGCACCGGATCCTTCCGTCCAATGAACGCGTGCCAGCTGGCGCGTCCCGCGTCTGCGTGGCCCAGCGATTGGTTCTTAACGACCGCCTTTTCGCGCTGCTTCGCGCGGGCGACACGCTCCGACTCGGGTAACGGCTGCTGCAAGGCTCTTCTGGACGTCTTCGTCCCGTGGCCTCCGGAACTAGCAGTTCCTGACGCTGCCGCTTGACCTGCTGCTGCAGTATACGACGGTCGGCGACAAGAATCGTCGCATTCACCGGAAGGCGATTCCGAAGGCGAATTTGCTCCACCCTCCAGTACACTAGCTGGACTGTTGCTTTTGGTATCTCTACGGATCTTCCCGGTTCCCGAAACTCCCGGCTTCCTTGTCCCGCTGGCTCCCTGTGTCGCTGCTGCTGGTGGAGGGGTTTGCATGGGCGGAAAGTCGTCGCATTCGCCTTCGTTACGCAGTAACTCGTCGCCAGAGTTTTCGCCAGTCGTTTTCGTCAACACCACCTCCTCCAGGGCTTTCATCAGCTCCTCTAGCTCCCGCTCGAAACGCGCCTCCCTTTCTGCTTCCTCCTCTCTGCTCTCGTTCTTATCACCTCTAACCTCATTCTTTTTATGCCCATTCACATCCTTCACTCCGGCTGCTGACGTCACCTTTCCGATTTGCCGCTCGCTCAGTATAACGGTGTCCATCGCGTCACGTACGTTACCGTTCCGCCTACACTAGCGGTTAACACTCGACGCAGCACTCTCACGAGCCTTTTCCTCGCGTGATGCTCGGAATAAGGAGAACCGTTTGCTAGACTAGCCTAGACTAGCCTGTGGCTAGTCACCTAACGTGTCTCCTAGGGAAACATTAGGCTGTCCTCTCACGTTGCGAGGAAACCCAACACGATGTGAGCCTCTACTAACTTGGTGGAAAGCATGAACTTCTGTGAGGCTTGTCAGAGTGCCTCTCGGCGACTCTCTGGTCATGAGTCTCGACAACCCGCTTGCACTGACCGTGTCTGATGGATGATGCTCTCGAGTCAGACTAGGGGAGCCGTGTTCCAGAAACGGTCTCTCTCAAGCATGATGGTGATGATCCCAGGAGAGCCGTGTTCCAGAAACGAGGGCAATCCCTGAATCAGAGATTCGGAATGCGCTTTGATGAATGGTGTCGGCCGATTTTGATGATCCCGAAGGAACAAGAGCGAGGCAATTCTGGCATTCCATGGTGGATCACCACGAATCCATGAGAATTTGGAGTGAGGAGGACTCATCCATTTGTGTCAGATGATTCCAAGAAAATCTGAGTGGGTCAATCCATAGCTGAAGGCACCTCATTACTGTCTATGTGTCATCTGTAGATGTGGAGACGACTTTCATAGCATCTGTACACGGCCTGTAACTGGTCGGCGGGATATTACACTTGCTGTGATCGTGTTGAAGGATACGCCCTAGATTCATGGAAACGTCGGCCTGTGTCGAAAAGTCGTATGCGATGCAGTGCGACATTCTGAAACTGTGCTTTTCAGTCTGCTCCCTCCATTTCCGTGAGCTGAGCAGAATGTATACTGTGTGCTAGGCTGCCAGCAGGGCGACAAATCGCCAATTTGTGATGTCTGACCCGTGGCGCCTGACATCGTTCATTGGTGGTTGCTTGGCTGTGGCAGACAATTTGAACCTTCCCTCCTCTTCAGAGGCGCGCATACCCGTCCTAGTTGCACCGATTCAACAGCCACGACTGCTGATCGGTAGCGTACATTATGACCACATAACACATAAGTATCTCCTCTTAGAACTAACGCCTTAAACCGTCCACTCTCAAACATTGAAGAGAAGGAAAACGAGAATACACGTCTTCGGGAGACGTCTTCAGCTTGGAGAAATTGATTAGGTCCAGCTGAGTAATCGTCGTGAATTTCCATGTGAAGCGGGGAAGATGTGTGATGCCTTGCGCACAAATCTGCAGCCTCTGTAGATTCGGGGGACAGGAGATGGTTCCACCCAACACGCCACTAACACCACTGGGAATGCCATTGAACCGAAGGGTGTGCAGTGACACAAACTGAGAGAGGGAAGCGAGGGATGCGCCAGAGTCAGCATACGAACCAATGACCAGCACTCCAAGGCTCCGCAGCACAGGAAGCGGGGAGGAGTGGGGAAGAGAGTCCATATGCAAGATCTGAAGATTGGGGCAGTGCTGCAGCAGCTGGTGGCGGAAATTGCTAAAGGGCGATGCAGAACGTGCCAGCCGTGCCAGCTTCACCAGGGGTTTCTTCAGGCCTTTTCCATGCCACGTCTGCACACCTCTCAGCTCCAGCAGCAGCAGGTTGGGGAAGAAACATGCATCACAGCCACTCCCAAGCGCAGAATTACCCCTCGTGCTTAGGTAAACACCAGAGATCTTCAGCACCCGGAGGCTGATGGACGCCAGGGAAGAAACGTCCAGGCGGACGGTTTGGGGGAGGAAGGAGGGAGCGACAGCTGGCGATGGGGTGACAGAGAGGACGCGGAGGGAATGGGGCAGGAAGGCTCCTCTCTTTGCCGCAGCTGCTAGCAGGTCCCCATCCACCTCCAGCTCCTCGATCAGTCTCTCCTCCCCCACCCCCTCACCCGCCCCCTCACCCGCCCCCGCACCCACCCCGTCACCCGCCCCCTCACCCGCCCCCTCGCCCGCCCCGTCACCCTCCGCCCCTTGCAATGCTGCTGTGCCTTGTGGGGCTTCCGGTTGGCGGATCACGAGCTCTGCCTTCAGCACTGCCACCGTGCCGCGAGACATGCGAAGCTGAGTCAGCTGCAATCCACTCGCCTGGCCGCGTCCCTGCTGCTGCTGCTGCTGCTGCTGCCGCTGCTCCCCAACGCTCCCTTGCTCCTGAACACCCCCTCCTAGTGCCCCCAGGACTAGCCCCGGGACAGGATTCCCGAGCACCTGCTCTCCCTGGTCGTCCCCGACGTTCCTTTCCTCCTGATTATCCCCCCCAAGAGCCCCCATGACTAGCCCAGGCACAGTATGGCCCAGCAGCTGCAGACAGGTCAAATGCCGCAAGCCGGAAACCCCGGACATGTACTCAGGCCTCTGCACGCCAGGATGAAACGCCGGATTGATGATGCAGAGCGAGCGGAGAGACGTCAGCTCCCAGAGTGACACTGGCAGGTGTGCTACAAACGGGAGGGTGAGAGAGAGGGAGGTGAGCGACGCCTGCAGCCCGGAAAACATGTCCTGGAAGAGCCGGGGGACTGGGTACGCTGTCGCCCAATTAGGACCGAGACGTAGCTCCAGGTGTGACAATAACGAGAGGCGAGTGAACGGGGCGGAGGAGCAGGTGACGGGGCAGGCAGGGTCGGACACGTGGAGGGTGAGGGAGTTGAGTGCGGTGAGGGAGGGAAGGAGCGAGGGAGGGATGGTTTTCAGGGAGAGAGAGAGGCGAGTGAGGCGCGAAAAGAGAGGGATGAGGGACGGCGAGAGGTCGAGACAGGCGGGGGAGGCGCTGGAGCTGATGAGGTGGAGGGAGACGAGGCTTGGGCACTTGTGGAAAAGCCAAGCAAGGCCGAGATGTGGGTTTGAAGGAGGGTTAGAGTGGGGGTTGTTGTCTGAATCTGTGATGATCTCAGCCAGACTTGAATGGATGTCGTTTGGATCTGCAAATTCTTGATTGACGAAGGGAGTGACTGTACGTGGTTGGGAGCGGGAGTTAGTGCCTGTGACTAGTAACGGGTGTTGGCTCGTTCTGCCGCCTTGAAGTCGCCGGCCGAATTGGATGTGACAATGGCGGAGGGACGGGCAGCAGCTCGCAACCAGGCGGCAGACGGCGTCAATATAGTGACACTCGGGTTCAATGCCATCCTGGGTGGAGCCAGCACCGATATGTGATAGAAACGGGAGGTGGAGGGATGCGAGCAGTGGGAAGCTTCGCAGCATTGAGGCAACGCGGTGCAGCGGCCAAGATATGGTACTCGGAGGGGTGTCGAGACGAAGAACGTCTTGTAACGAGGATAGAGCCAAGGAGCGTGATGTTCGGGAATTCAAGCAGCTTTCGCCCGAGAGTAAAGGGAGCGTTGCTGATGCTCCGATATAAGCGGCCATGGCTTCATCGACTCTTGGTCGCAGCGAAGGGGACCTTTGAAGATCCTCCAAGCAGCAGCGCAAGTCTCGACCATTTATAGAGGAACCGGCGGATCCTTGACCATCATCCATAAACAAACCGGCGGATTCGCCCTGTGCCGTAAGACCGGTCAGATTCAGCAGCTGATTCGTTGAATCTGGACGAACATTCTGGAGGCACAGCTGCCGTAGCAACGGCTGCCTGACCAAAGAATCCCGAAACAACGGCTGGTTGACAAGTGGCGGCGGCGGGAACAACGGCCGGCTGTACAACGGCTCCCACTCCAGCGAGAGCGGGTTCGGCGCCAGACTCAGGCAGCTCACTGACTTGCGAACGACGTCGCTGTAGCAGCGCCACCAGGAGCGACACGTGGCGCCCGCTCGTGCCACGTCTCTAACGTCCGTTAGATGGCTGAAAATGCTCGCAAGACAGTCGCTGGGGAGAGCTTGAGCGGGTAGTCGCTCCCCCTCGGAACCTGTGAAGCTGGAAGCGTCGGAAGCTTGGATTCTGGCAAGACAGTCGCCGGGAACGGCCCGAGCGGGTAGTCGCTCCCCCTCGGACCCTGTGAAGCTTGAAGCGTCGGAAGCTTGAATCCGGGCACGCCAGTCGCTGGGGAGGGCTTGAGCATGGGAAGCTGGAGTAGCGGTCACCGGAGATTCCTCGCCCGTGGTCGCCTCGCCCGTGGTCGCCGGCGATTGCTCGCCCGTGGACGCCGGCGATTCGTCGCCCTCACACGATTGCCGTTCCTCACATGATTGTCGCGGCGTACCGCTTCCTGGTGACGAAACGTGCAAAACCGCCGCAGCCATCTGAGCTCCTACCGCCGTGTTTCCCGTGAACTGGGATGCGAGCTCTGGAGTAGGAATATCAAGGCCCAACTGACTTGGTGTTAGAAGACTAAGCTCAGCTGGTAGTGGCTAGTGTGCCATTGAAAAGGAAGAAGCACGCTAAAAGGAGATGGCGGTCCCAGAATTTTGTTAAAGTATTCGATGGCGGTCTCTCTTCTGCCAGCAAGTCGCCGCGTCCAAGAAACGTCAGGGCCAGAAAGACTTGGCCGAATGGGAGCGTGGTGAGAAACTCTTTGTCAATGACTTCGCAGACAGAAAGACCTGGGTGGCCATGGCCGACGACAGAGCCCTTCTTCAGAGACCACAAGACCTGGCGGAAACTCCGATGCCCGACGACAGATGCTGATGCGAGTGAGGGCTGAAGCTGAGAGACCCTTTACGACCGTCGGAACACGACCTTTTACCGCACTGCATCGCGCTGCAGCGAGCGGAGGTCCCGAATTTCACATATTCATTCTACTGTAGTAGTGATGACTGGATGCTGGTTGGTCTGCTGAATAACGGAACGGTTCATTGCGGTATTGTCGACGACGTCGCCGTGCGGTGCCAAGCCGCGTTACGAACACCTCAGGATGGAACCCCCGAACCTCCACTTTGACTTGGAAGTTGGGGCACCTGTCAGATTTTGGGGCATGGTGCCCAAAGTTCTGTAGGCTCGGAGTCTGGGCGAACCAAGCTGGGCCAGCCAAGACTGCGTAAAATGCCGGGGGCCAGCCAAGCCAGCTCAGAAATTCAGAGTACTTCGTATGCCGCCAAGGAAGGAGGGTAAACTAAAGTTCTTACCATTACAGGCTTTCCCCCCTCCCCCCCCCTCGATGTTGAATTGAAGCATGTACCTCCACCTTTTGTAAGGACCAGGCGAGGTGTCCCCCGAATACAACACCTCTCTAAATCGTTTAGATTCCTCTACATTGCACAGCGCATAGATTCATGTGCCGCTTGCTACATCAATGCGTCTGGAGCGGTCAATCTACACCTCAGGGGTCATTGCCTCGGCCTTGGATCTAATGTCAGAGAAGAGCACTGACGACAGGTATCGCTCCCCAAAGCTGGGCAGAACCACCTGAGAAGAAGGGAAGAAGAGGAGAAGGGGGCACACACGGACACAGGACACGCACATACATGCGAGCAAAAGGTTGTTTCGAGATCGTGCAGACGACGTGAGTTCGAGGCTAAAACTAGGGAAATATCTGTCAAACGAGACTAGGTCAGATTTCCAAGCATCCTCATCGCCACCAATACTCACCACCACTAGCTTGCCAGCATTCTCGGGCCTTTTGGCAACTTCAATGGCTGCCACCACCGCAGCACCAGAGGATATGCCCGTCTGCACCATGCAAGGAACAACATGCAAGGGAACAAATTTGAGTCAGCACGTACCATGGTGGAAGTGCCTACCCAAACCACACTCGACATTACCAGGTAAGGCGAACGACAATAGAAACGCTCAAACAAGTGAAAGGGCCACATTGACGCCTTCACAAACCAATCCGCTCTAAGCATTTGAGCTAGCTTTGATCATGCACGTACCAGGAGCCCTTCCTTTACAGCGAGTTGCTTGGCCATCTCAACCGAGTCGTCGCTGCTGACCTGCACGAGGGAAGGGCAATACCCACGGGTGAAGGGTTGCAAGAAGGGCAATACCCAGGGGTGAAGGGTTTGCAAGAAGGGCGATACTCAGGGGTGCAGGAAGTACGGCGTGAGTCTGAGGGGTTCACAAGGGGTGCAGGGTTGAAGGGTTCGCCAAGTTACGAGGGGTGAACGAAGTGTTCAATGGTTCTGAGGTGTGAACAAACAAGTGCAGGAAGAGAACACTACGCGGTAAGGTAGGGGGATTGTGGGGTTGAAGTTGACCAGAAGGGGTGCAGGAGAAAGTGGGTTGAATTGACTCAGGCGACCAGTCATTTCACCTGAACAACCTATGTTATTCCACCTACGCGCACCTTGTCTGCCTCACCCACCTGAACACCAAGTTCACCTGTGCGTCTCTCCCGTCTCACCTGAGCGTCTCTCCCGTCTCACCTGAGCGTCTCTCCCGTCTCACCTGAGCATCCCTCCAGTCTCACCTGAGTGTCTCTCCAGTCTCACATGAGCGTCTCTCCCGTCTCTCCTGAGCGTCTCTCCCGTCTCACCTGACCGTCCTCCCGTCTCACCTGAGTGTCTCTCCCGTCTAACCTGAGCGTCTCTCCCGTCTCACCTGAGCGTCTCTCCCGTCTCACCTGAGCGTCTCTCCCGTCTCACCTGAGCATCCCTCCAGTCTCACCTGAGTGTCTCTCCAGTCTCACATGAGCGTCTCTCCCGTCTCTCCTGAGCGTCTCTCCCGTCTCACCTGACCGTCCCTCCCGTCTCACCTGAGTGTCTCTCCCGTCTAACCTGAGCGTCTCTCCCGTCTCACCTGAGCGTCTCTCCCGTCTCACCTGAGTGTCTCTCCCGACTCACCTGAGCGTCTCTCCCGTCTCACCTGAGCGTCTCTCCCGTCTCACCTGAGCGTCTCTCCCGTCTCACCTGAGCGTCTCTCCCATCTCACCTGAATGACCTCGTCCAGAATGCTAACGTCAAGCACCCCCGGGATAAAGCCAGCCCCAATGCCCTGGATCTTGTGGGGCCCTGCAGGGCGGGGAGCAACGAGAAAGTAGGGACACCTTATGGGACAGAAAATACAAGCTTCAGGATCAGGAACTGGCTGACGGACAAGAACTCTGCTCAGGGAGGGGCTGAATGAGCTTTGAGTCGACTCAAAAGATGACATTTGAGTCGACTCAAAAGATGCCATTTGAGTCGACTCAAAAGATGCCATTTGAGTCGACTCAAAAGGATTCAGGATCCATAACCGGTTAACGGACAAGATCTCTGCTCAGGAAGGACCCTAATGAGCTTTGAGTCGACTCAAAGGGCTTCAGGATCAGCAACCAGCTGAAGGACAAGATCTCTGCTGAGGAAGAAGCCAAATGCTGATGAAGGCTTGTATAAGCGTTCATGCTTAACCCAGAGAAATATGGGTCCACTGGACTCGCTTCAGGATCCCGAGCAACTGGCTGTAGGACAAGATCTCTGCTCAGGAAGAAGCCAAACACGCAAACGGGCCTGGAGGACACGCCTTTGACTCCCCAGGCTTGCCAGAACACGCAAGGACCGGTTCCGCCTGGCTGTCAACCTCAGACGCTATGCCCAGTTGAAGAGCATTGCCACAGCCAGCAAAAGCCACATAAGAACTCACCTGGCTTTCCACCTGAGAGAACAGGGCTCTCCTTGGGCTCCACGCCAATGAGCTGCAGGGGAGATGCGGGGTGCCAGAGAGGGATGGGGAAGGGGAGCAAGGGAGCAGATGCTGAGAGTCGGCATTGCAAGGAAAGCAAGGGCGTTCCACCTGAGAGGATAGGGCTCCCCTTGGGCTCCACTCCAGTCAGCTGCAGGGTAGATGGCGGGAAGCAAGGGAGGAGGGGAAGAGGAGGAGAGGGTGAGAGCTAGCACTGTGGGAAAATGACAGCCATTTGCCTGAAACCAGTAAGCGGTTACTTGGCATGTCATCGTACTATGTTTCATCTTCACATCCATAACCAGACCCCACTTGAGGTCGGGGCTTTTGCTGCGCAGGTACCGCCCACTTCCTGTTAGGCAGCCGCCGGTGTTGATGCCTGAGGTGAGAATGCACGCCGTGCCACTCAACCATCCGTCTACCCTCTCCCTCCTTCACTTCCCCTGAGTCCCACCTTGACATTGGGGTTCTTGCTGCGCAGGTACCGCCCCGTGCCAGTGACAGTGCCGCCCGTGCCGATGCCCGAGATAAGGAAGTCCACCGTGCCCCGGGTGTCCTCCCAGATCTCAGGGCCGGTCGTTTCAAAGTGGACCTGCAGCAACGGGAAATAGTGGAAGGAGAGGGAGATAGCAAGTTCCAAGCGTGGGAAGTTGAGGGGTTGAGGCATTAAGGGGAAGAGGGAGCGGGTAACCTCCCAGATCTCAGGCCCGGTTGTCTCAAACTGCACCCAGAGCACCGCGAAACAGAGAAAGGAGGGGGTGAGGAACAGGTGCGAAGAGGTGCGATGCCAGAGAAGAGAAAGACCACTGTGCCTCGGGTGTCCTCCCTGATCTCAGGACCTGTAACCCCAAAGTGGACCTGCAACCGAGTCACGAGTCCTGTGGGGGGAGAGAGGGTGTGGGGGAAGTGAGACTGTGGAGGAAGGGGGTGAGGAAGAAGGGGATGTGGGATAAGAAGGGGATGTGGGATAAGAAGGGGATGTGGGATAAGAAGGGGATGTGGGATAAGAAGGGGATGTGGGATAAGAAGGGGATGTGGGGGGGTGTGTCGACTTGCAATCTTCCAACGTAGGGTTCCGTTTTTGTGGGAAATTGGACCTTGGACGATCGTACCTTGGGATCCGCGGGGTTCTCGAATTGCTGCAGCATGTACGCGGCCTCAGTCTTTCCCACGATCTCCTCCGCCTTAGCCACGGCGTCCTTCATGCCCTTGGCGGGGTCCGTGAGAACGTTCTCTAAACTACATCCCCTCTATAAGCTCGACATACCTTGGGATTCGCGGGGTTCTCGAACTGCTGCAGCATGTACGCGCCTTCCGTCTTCCCCACAATCTCCTCCGCCTTAGCCACAGCGCCCTTCATGCCCTTGGCGGGGTCGGTGAGAACGAGCTCGGCGCCGAACGCCTGCAGCAGCACGCGGCGCTCGAGGCTCATGGAGGCGGGCATGGTGAGGACGAGCTTGTAGCCCCTCGCCGCTGCAATGAACGCCAACCCGATGCCCGTGTTGCCCGAGGTCGGCTCCACCAGCACGCTCTGGGGGGGATTGGAGGGGGAGAGGGGGGGGAATGCATGTCCGGCGGAAAAGAGGGGGAAGGAGTAAGGGGAACAGGTTCAGGTGATAAATTGTGTAATTAAAACACCGCTACCTCAAAATCCCGAGACGGCGTGAGAGTCGTGATTTAGGATCATCAGGTTTATGAACCAGGTTTATGAATGATCATGTTAAGGCTGAAAGCTCACCTTGCCAGGCTCGATGAGGCCTCGTTCCTCCGCGTCGTCGATCATGCTGTACGCAGGGGGAGTCTAATTCTAAGGCGCCTCAGGAATAGACCCCATTTTGAGGCGCCCCAAAATAGGCTCCTCAAGAATATACTCCTCACCTTGCCAGCCTCGATGAGGCCTCGTTCCTCCGCGTCGTTGATCATGCTGTACGCAATTCTGTTGAGACATGCAAGAACATGCAAAGGTAGTGGCAATCAAAACGGGTGCGCGACATGAGACCAGTCGTACGTGCTCGTCCCGCCCTGGGTTGACCTTTGAGTCGACTCAAAAGTCACAATGGCAATCAAAACGGGTACGCGACATGAGACCAGTCGTATGAGCTCTTCATGCCCTGGGTTAGATCACATCGCGAGAAAATTAGGCGAGAATTCTTGGTCGCACAACGACAAATCCACAAGTCATATTTTGACATGCCCTTGACGCTCCAGCTCCATGATCTCGAACTCAGACGACAGCGTTTGCTGAGCCTCATAACCACGCACATGCCCTTGACTCTATAGCCGGGCTGACCTGTCCTTGACGCTGCAGCATGGCTCCATGATCTCGAGCTTCGCTGCAATGTTGGCGACGCAGCCGTCGACGACCTTGTTGAGGTACACCATGGGCGTGCTGCCGATGAGCTGGAGGGGGGGAGGGGGGGGGAGGTGGAGATTGAGAGGGGAAAAGACAAGACACCAGGGTACAAGTGGGTTGCAGGTGGGTTACAAGCCGTGACGACCTTGTTCCGATACACCATGGGGGTGCTGAGCTGCACGAGGAGAACGCAACGAGATTCCTGACATTTTTATCGAATCCCTGCATGTTATGCTGTATAACTACCGCGTGGGAGAAAACTTGCCATTTGAATCACGGATAGGAGAAACTACGAGAAATTGACAACTAAGCGAGGATACTGCTTTCAGTAGAGCAGCAATATTCTAAACAAGCAAAAGTATATCCGATCTTGATTATGCTTACGACATTCTACCCACCTGAGTCACATCTGAAGCGATGTTCGTCGCCGTAACTGTATCAGCTTCCACGGCTGAGCCTTCGCCGAACATTGTGCTTCCTATCCAAGGACGCTTCGCAACGTCTCGCCTTGGCTGAGAGCGAGCGAGCGGGCTTCCTAGCTTGAACGAACGACACAACTGGCCTTAAAAACGAGGTCCGAAGCTCAGACGCGCAAAAGCAAGCTGGAGCCTTGATGGTCGAAGCAGCGACGGGAGACGGCAAGCCATGGCTAGAAACTGGAGGGAAATTAGCTACGGAAAACTCGGAGCTGAGAAATTCCTCCGAGGAGAAGTGGTCTCTGTATGAACCTTGAGAACGACGCAGGTCCTGACTGATAGGTGCTTTTCTTAGGGTTTTTAGTTGTTCGGTTACTGTTACTTGCGATCCGCGCACAGTAGTCACTATTATTGCACAGAGAGGAGGGTTTTGTCGCTTTCTGAGCAGCGAGGGGAGGTTTAGCGTTCATTTAGGTTAGATTTTCTCTCATTGGTTCGCATTTCACAATTTCATTGGTTGCACACTGTACCTCAGCATTTCGCTGTTCTCAGCAACTGTTCCCGAAAATCTCCGTCAACTACAGTGCACGTCGCTGAACGAACCTGGAAACAGAGTGAGCCTCGGATACCGTCAATTTCTGACGGCAAAATTAACAGCAAACTTATTTTTCAGACGGATAAAACATGACGACAATACTCAACATGGGATTTCGGATTAGTGCGGCGGGATTGTGCACTTACATTTCATTTCGATATTATGTAATAAACATTTTGTACTATTTTCAACTCATGATTTTTTTTGCCATGGAATTCGAGGATCTTCGTAAACAATGTAAATCTTTCAATAAGTTTTTTTAACACGTGGCCGAATATTTTCGAAAGGAATTTGCATTACAACATTCTTTACAAAAAGGACCATACTTGACGTCCCAGCCAACATTAATATGCGAACCCCTCTTGAAAAGATTCAGCCAAGATATAATATAACTGTACAAAAGATATTATTTTATAATGTCGAAATGAAATGTAAGTGAAGAATTCCGTCGCACTAATCCGCAATCCCATATTGAGTATTGTCATCATGTTTTATCTGTCTGTCGCTGTTAATTTTGCCGTCAGAAATTGACGGTACCCGAGGCTCCCTCTGTTTCCAGGTTCGTTCAGCGACGTGCACTGTAGTTGACGGAGATTTTCGGGAACAGTTGCTGAGAACAGCGAAATGCTGAGGTACAGTGTGCAACCAATGAAATCGTGAAATGCGAACCAATGAGAGAAAAACTAACCTAAATGAGCGCTAAACCTCCCCTCGCTGCTCAGAAAGCGACAAAACCCTCCTCTCTGTGCAATAAATGTGAGTACTGTGCGCGGATCGCAAGTAACAGTAACCGAACAACTAAAAACCCCTTTTCTTATGAGGAAAGGCTGATCTTGGGATCATCAGCAGCAGCAGTAGGAGAACCAGGCACCATCCCATTCGCGCGGGAAATGATCCGCAGATGGCTGGGTTGCTGGTCGGGAGGGAGGGGGAAGGGGGCGGGGCATCCTCGGGAACTCCCCCTGGTGTGGAGGGAAGGGGGAAGGGGGGTGGGGGGGGGGATGCAACAGGGAGCGAATTGGCGCGCGCCTCACATTTTCCGCGTAGAGGAAGAAACACCCCCCGCCCCCCCTCCCCCTCTCGTTTGGCGATGAACGGTAGCGAAACTCGGTTCACGACAGAGACCAGCAGTGGGGTCTGGTTCACGACATTGTCGAACAGATTTGAGTTACAACTCGACTCGACAACCGTGAGATCATGAGATCCACCCCCATCACAGGAATCCGGCCCATCTCTGACTGCCTGAACACCGACATCCATGGCAATTGTGCCGTCTCCAATCATGTAAGGCCGGCCACCTTCTGAGCACTGGAAAACAGACACATCACTGGCACAAGCAATAATATTTTGCGCGGGCTGATCTGGAATGAAAGATATTCTTCGCATTGGAAAACGCACTTTGCCGTTTTGCTCCTCGTATTTGCTTATTATTGGTGCATCTCACTAAACTAAATGACGTAGTATTATGCATCACAAGGGTGCAATATCGAACATCATCAGTGCCTTGTGAGAAAAACACATTTTCCAGTGTATTCACATATTGAGGTATCTGGAAAGCTAGGAGAATTGGCTAAACATAGTATTTCAAGTTTTGTTGGACCATAGGCTATCAAATCGAAATCATCAGTACACGTCAGAATTCGTGGCATAAGCACTTCTAACGGCGCCCTCCCTGTCGAGGTTGTCCGGAACTTGCGATGCCAGGATGGCAAATGCTGTATCCCGCACATTGCATTGCTTGTCGCGGAGTCCATATCCACTGCACCCTGAGCGAGGCTCCCTTTGGTCAGATTGGCAGCTCAACGTGTTCAGCTGATAGGTCACCCTAATTTGTGGTTTTCATTGGAACGGAATTTCAGCGCTCAAAGTTAGACATTTCTCGACCCGTAATTTACATTCGGCAAGTGCCAGAGTATAAAAGCGGTTATTCCGAGACCTGTTCAGTCGCAAAACACATCCTACCAAGCTCTTTCCCACCCTTACACCACCCATAGCGTGTCAGTCAAGGGGGCAAGATTCGGCTCGATTGGAGCCAAATCCTGAGCCTGCGGCTCAATGTTGCAGTGAAATTCCGGAGTTTCACCTTAAACGTCGAAACAACATTGAGCCCTGCTCAAATGTAAACAGCACCCATAAGAACATTAGTGGAGCACTGGACGAAAATGAACAGTGAATGATGAAAATTACATGCGAAACCTACAGTGAGCGAAAATAAAACCTTGCCCCACACAACACAAAACGCAGAAACCAGACCCCAGATCGCGCAACATTGGTTTCCCCGTTGAGTCGCTGGTTTACTGTGCATGTTTTGGTCGTGCGTTGTAATTGGTTGCGATTTTCATATTTTCGCAGTGGCATAGTGTAACACTTCCCGAGTGCCGGGCTCGAGCCCCCGGGTTGTCGTGCGATGTTCGCACATTGAGCTCGCGGACCGAGCGAGGGTAACATTGAGCCCAATCTCGCCCCCCTTATGCTGGTGGAGGAACACAGCATGGCGAATCAGCAAAGGAGATTCGAAGCATCAACACAGCATGGCGAATCAGAGTCAAATGCCGCTCGCTGCTCTGGGCGAGCGCACACTGCGCAGGCACGGGTCCTCGCCTGCTCTCGCATAAGAAACAACGTGTCGCTTTTCTCTCCGCTTGAACACAATCAACGGGCATGATTTGCGTTCTCTAGTTCAGCTGTATAATTTTCTGGAGTTCTATCAATCAATCAAAAGACGTCTTCGCTCAGATCCTTTTGAAAGCGGAGCGCCAAATGCTCTACCTGGCCAGCTTGTGTGTAGTATAGGGAGGACTTTAGCGAGGATATCTGGAGACAATTCAATCACCCAGCTCAATCACTCGGGTACAGCAAAGCGTAACTCTGGTGTCGAGTCGCCATATAGCCCGAAGCTTTGGGCAAGAAAGCAGGTGGAGATCATCGCTCGTAGTTTGATAATACCCCCTCGTTTTCTTCAGGCAGTAGAATTTACGGAGTTCGTCGACAACTTGTACAGTTAACGGCTGCTGAAAGGGAGGGGGACCGTCCCCCTGTAGTGACTACGGGAAGCAGAGCCTGTTAACGATGCAGTTTATATGGGGACTCAAGACCGTCTTCTCCCACTTGCATCCGCACCACCACCATTATCATCACCACCACCATAAGGGGCCAAAGCGACCGGAAACCGACATTGTTGATGACGTCACGCAGGTACGCACTTGGTGAGCACTCAGGGGGGTACAGAATAGTACGTTTGGTGTCTGTGTGTGGCGCGCTGTTGAAGCATAGTAAGGCGTAAACGATGAAGGGGCTGTGAGGAAGCAGGAGCTGCAAACAATGCAGTTTATATCGGGACTCAAAACCGCCGTCTCCCACTTGACCCACCACCATCACCATTACCATCACCATCACCATCACCATCACCATCCCATCACCATCACCACCACCCACCACCCTCACCACCCACCATCACCACCATCACCATCACCATCACCACCACAACACCATCACACACATCCATCACCATAAGGGGCCAGAACGACCGGAAACCGACAATGCTGATGATGACGTCACTCAGGTACGCACTGAGGTAAACTCCGAGGTACACCCTCGTTATACGCCCCGTTAGCGCATGCCCCAACTCTCACTTGCCCCTGGTGCGCCTGAAGTAAGTGGTGGGCGGGTGCGCTGGGGCCACCCTCTCACTTGCCCGGGTGCGCTGGGGCCACCACGGTGTGCAAGCTGGAGAGCATGGAGCCGTGTGGGAGCATAAGGAGCGAGTGGGGTACCCATCCACATCTGCTTGGCTCGGCTGAGTGGATGCGTGGTGGGCTCCTGTACACATCTGTACACATCAAGTACAGCTGTGTGGTTTGGCTCCTGTGTGTCCGCCGCTTCACCATCCACTCACGGCTGATAACCCATTCACCGCTTGACCCCCTTCCGTGACCCCTCATCCCGTGACCCCTCATCCCGTGACCCCTCATCCCTTGGCCCCTTGGCGCTGTGCGCCTCAGCTGATCGGCCGCACGCCCCTGGTGAATCTGAATGAAGTGGTGGAGGGGTGTGCTGTGCGGGCACCACACCATAGCGTGCAAGCTCATGGCCCCATCTCTTTCCTCCTCTCCATGCCCGAATGCGCCACACAAAGTGACGTTTGAGTCGACTCAAAAATGGCCCCATCTCCTTCCTCCTTCCTCCTCCCCATGCCCGGATGCGCCACACCCTGCCCCACCGACCCTCAGCTCATCGGCCGCACGCCCCTGGTGTATCTTAATAAAGTGGTGGAGGGGTGTGCGGGCACCATCGTGTGCAAGCTCGAGAGCATGGAGCCGTGTGGGAGCATCAAGGACCGAGTGGGGTACAGCATGATCGCTGACGCTGAGGAGAAGGGATTGATCAAGCCAGGCAAGGTGAGAATGCGGGGGGAGAGCGGAAGAGGAGGGGGGGTGGGGGGGGATGCACGTGCAGGAGCATGGAGCCGTGTGGGGGGGGGGCATGATCGGCGATGCAGAGGAGAAGGGGCTCATTAAAACGGGCAAGGTGGGAGAGAGAAGGGGGGAAAGGAAGAGCGCGAGGGAGGAAACAGAGATGAGCAAAACTGGCGGCATTAAGGTCCTCGTGGAACAGCCTGATCGGAGGAGAAAGGGTTGATCAAGCCAGGCAACGTGTGTGTGTCTGTGTGTGTGAAAGAGTTTTGTGTGTGGAAGGGGGGGAGAGGGGGTGTGTGCAAGAGCATGGAGCCGTGTGGCAGCACCGGGGTAGAGTGGAGTACAGCTTGAGGGCAGACGCGGGGGAGAAAGGGTTGATCAAGCCAGGCAAGGTGTGCTTTTGAGGCGCCTCAAAAGCAGCAGACGCGAGGAGGAAGGGTTGATCAAGGCAGGCAAGGTGCGTGTGTTTGTAACAGAAGGTAAGTGAAGGGGCGGGACGAGCAGATGAATGAGATCCATGTCGTGTGACAGCTGGTGCTCTCTGTAGGTTGCATTGCAACAGCAACAGCATGGGCATGAGACATTTCCCATACCATCGTATTTTGAGGCGCCTCAAAGAAAGCGTCAGACATTTCCCATAGCATCTATTCTTGAGGCGCCTCAAAAATAGACTCATCGTATTTCCCATCGCCCTCTTCCCTCCTGGCACGCTTGCAAGTTCATTCCGTCCCCCCAGTGCGTGCTAGAACACCACTTAGGCCTTCTTCAAGTTCATTCCGTCCCCCCCAGTGCGTGCTGGTGCAGCCGACCTCGGGCAACGTGGGCATTCGAATAGAAGTACCCATTGTGCTGTTATTGACCTGCGGCCCCCTTGTCCGTCCCCCAGCGAGTTAACCACTGTGCTGTGCTCTCTCCCTCCCCCCTCCACCCCCCCCTCCCTTCTCCTTCTTCCCCCCTCCCCCCTTCTCCTTCCCCCAGAGCGTGCTGGTGGAGCCAACCTGTCTTGTCAGCGTGTATATCGTTCTGTGTCTCCATGTTTGCCCCACTCACCCCCCCCCTCACCCCCCGCAGAGCATGCTGGTGGAACCGACCTCGGGCAACGCGGGCATGGAACCACAATGTACACTCTTCGGGCAACTCGGCTCCCATTTGCTCCACATTCTTTCTCCCCGAGCGTGCTGGTGGAGCCGACCTCGGGCAACACGGGCATCGGGTTGGCCTTAATATTGTTGAATGCCCCCATTGTTCGCCCCTCCTCCAGAGCGTGCTGGTGGAGCCGACCTCGGGCAACACGGGCATCGGGTTGGCATTCATAGCAGCGGCGAGGGGCTACAAGCTCGTCCTCACCATGCCCGCCTCCATGAGCCTCGAGCGCCGCGTGCTGCTCAAGGCCTTTGGGGCCGAGCTCGTTTTGACCGACCCTGACGAGGTGAGATCGGCTCGTAGTTTTGACCAACCCTGAGGAGGCGAGGTCGACTCGAATGAGTTGGAGACGCCATGGCCTATTGACTTAGCCTCGAGCGCCGCGTGATGCGCAAGGGGCGAGCTCGTTCTCACGGACCCTGACGAGGTGAGATTGGTGCGCGTTGGCCCAAAGTTCATTTTTTGAGGCGCCTCAAAAAAAATTCATTTACTCTGGGCCCGCGTGCTGCTCATGGCCTTCGGCGCCACATGCTGCTTGGAGCTTTTGGGCCAAGCGCGTTCTCAGGACCCGACGAGGTGAGACTGGCGCACCTTGACTGGCGAATCTGACTCTTCTTGAACTTGACGAGGTGATTGAAACACACGATCAATGCACGCATTGACTGGCGAATTTGACTAGATCGAGGTGTGTTTGAATCGCCTTGATCTAGTAGTTTTGCAGCTATTGTCTCGACTGACTTGCCTTGACCCAGAGACTTCAGCTGGCGTTGATTTGATTGTTCTCACTCACCTTGACAGGTGCGGTCCCTGAACAAGTAAACGGACTATTTGAAATGACCTAGTGAAACCCAAACATTTCTTCTTTGAGCCATAAATTTCCATCCTGCGAGATGGCAGGTCACCAGGGGAGCCATTATCCAAGACACGGGGATTGTTATCAGGCTGTGTCAATTCTCTTTCCCTCTACTCTTTCGCCACTCATTGCTTGACATCGTTGCCATCATCCGAGCCAAGGAAGTAACTCAAATGTTAGAATTTCCTTAAAGCCTTCAGTTTCCCTCTATGGCATTCTCACACCCTGTTCAATTCGATCGCAGGGCATGCGGGGAGCCATCATTAAAGCCAAGGAGATTGTGAGCAACTCAAAGCATGCCTTCATGCCGCAGCAGTTTGAAAACGAGGCCAATACCAAGGTGCGTGGCAAATTCCTAGCAGGGCGGGCAAGAGGCAAGGTGGGTTACGCAAGGTGTAAATGGCTAAGGTGGTTATGTGATGAAGGACATTCTTGAATCGAATGACGGCGGGGAAAAGGGATGGTTTTATAGCATATATGGCTTGGGTCGACGCCCATTATTTCACATGCTTTTACGATATGTTGTTCCTTTGTGCCAGTGCTTTGTTTTTGCTACCGTTTTGCCAATTGATCTTTGACGGGTCAAGTCTTGTCTAACGCAGCAAGCATGCCAAAATGGGTTGGCACTTTATTCGGGATGTCTGTATGCCAGAAACTGTTTGTGGTGGGGCCGTCGACACCAGCAAGCAAGCTCACACCTTTAGGATGTCGACGTGGGCCTGCTATAAACAGCCCCTTCAAGGCGTGGAGCCTGCTCTAAAGCACATCCACTTCAAGATGAAAGGCTCGTGCCCCCTCCCATGTCCCCCTCCCTCCCATGTCCCCCTCCCATGTCCCCCTGGCGGTGGTGGTGTGCCATACCTCTCATAGTGTCCGCCTTACTTCTGACCCTTCCCACTGACCCTTGCCCTGAAATCAGATTCACTATGAGACGACGGGGCGGGAGATCTGGAGGACACAGGGGGGCTTGTGGATGTGGTGGTGTGCGGCATTGGCACGGGGGGCACAGCCATGGGCGTGGGCAGTACCTTAAAGCCAAGAAGCCCAGCGTCAAGGTGAGAAGGCCGCCTGCTACGCAGTGGTGCGTGCGAGGGAAGGGGCATGAGGGCGGGTTGATGCGGTGGTGTGCGGTGCAGGCACTAGCGGCGCGGCCATGGGCGTGGGGCAGAACCTTAAAGCCAAGAAGCCCAGCGTCAGGTTGAGTAGGTCGTCTGCTACACATGAGGGCATGGTATGCATGAGGGCATGGGTATGCATGAGGGCATGGGTATGCATGAGGGAATGGGTATGCATGAGGCATGGGTATGCATGCGGGCGCGGTGGTGGGGAGCGTTGTGGGGAGGGAGACATTGGCATGGTTGTGGGGCAGTACCTTAAAGCCAAGAAGCCAAGCGTGAAGGTATGATAGTTGTGCTGGATGAAACAGAGGGGTATCTGGGATTTTGCAGGGTGTTTTTGAGAATTCTCAAAACACCCTACAAAATCAAGGACTTCGTGATCCTCGGTTTGTTACGAATTGAGTGCAGTGAGGGGCATGCGGTTGCGGTGGTGTGCAGCAGTGGCACGGGGGGCACAGCCATAATTGGGGTAGCGCCTCAAGGGGAGGAAGCTGATTGTTAAGGTGGCATGTGAAGTCAAGGTAAAAAAAGGTAGGTAGCTGTGTTGGGGAGATAGCCATAAGCGTTAAGCGATAGGCCATAAGCGTTAGGATGCGCAGCAGCGAAGATGAAAGACTTTGTTAGAATAATTATTGACTGGTTACTTAAAACGTATTTTGCTCTTCGCTGCTGATCATCCAAACGCTTATGGCCTATCGCTTAACGCTTATGGCCTATCGCTTAACGCTTATGGCCTATCGCTTAACGCTTGTGGCTACGAGTTCTCCAGGTGATTGTTAGCGCCTCAAGCGGAAGAGGCTGATTGTTAAGGTGGGATGTGGAGTAAAGGTCAAGAAAGGCAGGTAGCTGTGTAGGGGAGATATGAAAGATAATGTTAGGAAAGGACGTAAATTTCGTGCTAGCTTGCCGCCATGCAATCACACCACCATAAAATCACACCACCATACAATCACACCACTACGCACCGCAGCCATCCACAGTGAGTTGGTTCTGGTCATTCCTCATCCCTGTGTCGAATGGATGGCAGATGATTGCAGTGGAACCTGAAGAGTCAAATGTCCTGTCAGGTGGATACCCAGGTGAGAACAACAGAGGGGCGGTGTGAATGGATGGGTGGAGGGCGCAATTGTAATTGGCCAGCATGGCTATTCTGGCGGATGTATACATTGTGGATCAATATTGATAGTTTTATAGTGCATCTACAGGTGAGGGATTTTCCTCTCGTTACTGTCACCTCTCCCAACATCTCATAGTGGGCCCACTAATTGTGCATCACCCCAATCATAATACGTCACGCCACTCATAGTACATCACGCCCACTCATAGTACATCACGCCCACTCATCTAGTACATCACGCCACTCATAGTACATCACGCCACTCATACTACATCACGCCACGCATAGTGCATCACGCCACTCATAGTACTCATGGCCCCATTGATTGCTGACCCCTCAATGGATCCGAGGCCAGTTTTTTCATGACCATTTGCCACACCATGCCTCACCGTACCACACCACGCCACCATGCCACGTCACGCTGTGCTGGGCTGCACGCACGTGACCCAGGGCACGTGACCCAGCGGCGTCGGAGCAGAGTTCGTGTCTTGCATTCTGGTCCCGCATCTCCCCTCTGCCCCATCCTATCATGCTGCCATCACCCCATCACCCCATCACCCCATGCCATGCCATGCCATGCCATGCCATGCAGGCCCGCACATGATCCAGGGCAATCGGGGCGGGCTTCATCCCAAGCATTCTGGATGAAGCCATGCTGGATGAGGTCATCGCGGTGAGTGCCGACATCATGGCGGTGAATGCTGATGTCATCACGGTGAGTGCTGACATCATCACGGTATGGCGGTGAGTGCTGAGGTCATCGTGGTGAGTGCTTAGGTCATCGTGGTGAGTGCTGACATCATCGTGGTGAGTGCTGAGGTAATTGTGTGAGTGCTGTCGTCATTCGTGAAATAATTTTCCCTCTCTTTTCCTCCCCATCGCTGCCAGGTCAGCAGCGATGACTCGATTCAAATGGCACGCCAGCTGGCGATCAAAGGAAGGCATGCTGGTGGGTTGCTGAAGCCATTATCTGCTCATAACCACCTGCTGCTGCACCTCACCCCTTGTTCATCCCATTCTGCTGTGCCAACACCAGATTTTAGTAACTCTTTCGCTAGTTTGATAGCAATAAGTGGGTATTTAGCCTCCCGCCTCTCGCTTCTGTTTCCCTTCAGGTTGGCATATCCTCGGGCGCGGCTGTGGTTGCTGCAATCCAAGTTGCAAAGCGGCCCGAATATGCGGGAAAGATGGTGGTGGGTACGTCTTCACCCCCCTGATCTCCCCATAAGCCAACCAAACCCCCCCCCCCCCCCCCTTCCACTCCCCGCCCCACCCCCCCCTCCCCCCCTCTCCCCCTCCCCTCACACACATTCCTGCCACAGCTTGCCAGTCCTCAATTCACATCGCATTTCACGAAGATCTTTGAGCGCACTAAAAAAATGCACCAAATTGTTGTGTTGCAGGCCATTATTCCTAGCTTTGGTGAGCGGTATTTATCTACAACACTCTTCTCAAATCTTTGGGAGGAGGTTTATAACATGCCAACGTCTCAGTAGCCTGTAAACTGGGTTATAAACATAAAGGGATTTTGGCTCAGTTTGCTTAGGGGAGTAATGGAAGGGCCTTCAGCATCATGTTAGAGTATATTTATGTAAAACGCTGCATTATTGTGTTATCGTAATCGACGATATACGTCGTGTAATTCAAAACGCCGGTGCTCAAGCGAGTGTTTCGGGCGGCCGTCTCCAGACACAAGGACGTGTGTACTGAACCTCGTTACTACTCCATGTCAGGTTACGAAACAGGTTACAAAGTGTAACAATAAAGTACGCAGCTCCTAAGGTGTCACCCAGAATTTGCGGGTGAAACTTTTGCAAGAGCCAGCGAATATCGGGGCGTGTCCCAAGCGGACGTCTTTTGCCTAAACCGTATCCAACCGTTTTAGAACGTCGTCGAACCTTTGAAAAGCAAAGTCCTCTCATCCAACCGCAATGAGACGTATCTGCGGGACACGCACTCATCCCAGCTTATCGTAAGTCTGGCGAACCAGACTTCTCACCTGGTCACAAACGAGAGAGTGGGAAATGCGCCAGGCGAAGGACTCCCTCACCACCCAGCTGTACACCTCCGCCACTTTCCCCCACACTAAATTTGCGCTGCATTTCTCTCCGCCTCTCCTTCGCCCCCTTGCGCTTCGTCTTTTCCGCCCATGGAGCGCTCCGCCTTCCGCCATGCGCCGCGCTTCCTGCGCCGTGGCTGCGCCAGAGCGCGCCTGCTGCTGCGCAGACCCGCGGCGGGGCGGAAACGACACGTGCGCAATCCGCCACTGGTCCGCGGAGTGAAGGCGGATTCCCGCGGCGGAGAATGAGTCGTGCGGGGAGCGCGGGGAATTCGCGGAGCAAGGGCGGGCGTGACGAGGTGGGCGACCTGGGGGCGAATGGGGGACACTGGCGGCCGTTGTTGCGGGAGGGGGGAGAAGCGCGAGGATTCGGGCACACTCATGCATTTTCCGAAGCGCTTATTCTTTCGTCCCGCTTTTGCCCTCTTCCTTCTTCTTCTTCCTTCTTCCCTCTCCTTCCACCACTGCCCTTCTCCGCCTCGTTGCCCCCTCGTTGTCACGCTCTCCCCTCCTTCTCACGCCATCCCCTCCCCATTCCCCCCTCCCCATTCCCCCTCCCCATTTCCTCCCCCCATTCCCCCTCCCCATTCCCTGCTCCCCATCACCAGGCGCGCGCTCCCTCTCGTCCGCTCTCCCCCTCTCCATCGCGCTCCTCACTCCCCCCGCACTGGCAGGTGAGCATACCCCCCCTTCCCTCCCCTGCTGCCGCCCCTCCCCCCTTCTCCAGTCCTCCCTTTGCGTTCCTTTGTCCCTTTCCCTCTCGCTCCACTCACTACCTTCGTTCGTTTGTCACACATCTTCTCCATCCAACCCCCAGCCGCCCTTTAGAACCTGCCCATGGCAACCTTCAGTCACTTTTGCTCACATATCCCTCCATTTCTTAGGTGCCTCACAATTAGACTCCTCCCTCACCGTGCCCTTGGCCAACCTTCAGTCACCACCATTCTCACGTATCCCTCCGCCATTCCCCGTCATCTCCGTGCGATAGGAGGCTGTAATGATATGTCTTTATCCCCTATCGTTCCCCCATTCCCTCTCTCCGCTCCCCCCTTTCCCTTTCCTCCCTTATTTTCCCTCTTCCCCCCCCCCCCCCTTCCGCCCCATTTCTTCCAGTCCCTGCTCTGGGGGATCCTTCAGTCACCCATTGCTGACGTCACCGTGACGTCACACCAGCTGGCAAGCTGCCTGCTGCCGAGGTGAGGGGGGTAGGAGTGAGAGTAGGAATGAGAGTAGGAGTGAGAGTAGGAGTGAGAGGAGTGAGAGTAAGAGTGAGAGTAAGAGTGAGAATAGGAGTGAGCCTTGATGATTTAGCTTCGCCCTACCCCGCCCTGCTATTTCCCGCCACTCCCTAACCTAACCTCCCAGGAAGCAGCAGTGGCAATGTTTGAGCGAACCACGTCTTCTGTTTGAACGAACCACATCTTGTGTTGTCAACATATTCGACCTGGCGCTAGCATGACGGACTGTGAGGACCTCTGTGGTATTCTGTCGCGCTGTTTGAGAGAACCACCTACTCTGTTGCCAACATAGTCGACCAGGCGCTGCGGCCAAGCATGAACGCCACAAGCCAGGTGGAGGTCCCTGAGGGCAACGGGACAGGTCGGATCTGTACCCATCCCCGCTCCCCCCCCCTCCTGCTTCCCTGTCGACTCCCCAACCTCCGAGGAAGCAACCATCGCGCTGTGTGAAAGAACGACTTATTCAGCCGTGAATAAGTTCGGCATGTCTGTGCGGCCCAGCATGCACACCGCCAGGTGGACGTCCCTGAGGGCAACGGGACAGGTCGTCCCTGAGGGCATCCGGTCGGATGATGGAAGATCGAGCATTCCCTTACCCTCCCTCACCCCCTCCCTCACCCCTCCCTTACCCCTCCCTCACCCCTCCCTTACCCCTCCCTCACCCTCCCTTACCCCTCCTGCATCCCTGTCGGCTCCCAAACCTCACAGGAAGCAACTGTCGCATTGTTTGGGAGAACGACCTACTCTGTTGTGAATATATTCGACGTGTCTCTGCGACCCAGCGAGAGCGCCATGGCCAGATGGAGAGGTGCCTTTTCCAACTTGCTTCCCCCTCCGCTCCCTACCTCCCTTACTCACAGGAAGCAACTGTCGCACTGTTTGAGAGAACCACCTACTCTGTTGTCAACATATTCGACGTGACTCTGCGGCCCAGCATGAGCACCACAGGGCAGGTGGAGGTCCCCGAGGGCAACGGGTCGGGGGTGGTGTGGAACAGCGACGGTTACATTGTTACCAACTACCATGTGGTCGGGAGCGCACTTTCCCAGAACCCTCCTCCCGGCCGCACCATCGCCAGAGTCACTCTGCTAGGCACAGACGGGTAGGTTGAGAGTGGTGGTGTGGAACAGGGGGTAAGTTTAGGAAGCTCTAGAGCGGTTTAATGCGGTGAAGGGATTGTCTTGTCTTGTTGTTACCAACTACCTCGTGGTTGGGAACTTGGGAGTGCTCTCTCAAGAACCCTCCTCCCGGCCGCACCATCGCCAGATTCACTCTGCTGGGTACAGATGGGTAGGTTCATTCATTGGTGGATCTGTTGTGGTGCAGTGCGGTGCAGAGGAGTGCAGAGCAGTGTAGTGACTGGGTGGTCCAGCATGGAATCTATTTTTGATGCGCCTCAGAAATAGTTATCTCTTGCAGTGCAATGCAGTGCAGAGTGCAGAGCAGTGTAGTGACTGGGTAGTCCGGTGTGGAACAGCGATGGTTACATTGTTACCAACTACCACGTCGTTGGGAATGCACTTTTCCAGAACCCTCCTGCTGGAAGGACCGTGGCTCGAGTCACCCCTCTTGGGACTGACACCTGTGTCTAGTGCCGTGCAGAGAGTATCTAGAGCGGTTTAGAGTGGTGTAGCCAGCTATACGTGAGGGGGTGTGGTGTGAATCACTGCTGGTTACACCGTTACCAACTACCACGCCGTTGGGAGTGCTCTGCCGCATACCCCGCCAGCTGGGAGGACTGTGGCCAGAGTCACTCTGCTGGAGGCAGACGGGTAGGGTCAGAGCGGCATAGTGCGGTTTGAATCTGTGCAGAGTGGCCATCTCCTCCTCCAGCTTCCTCCCCCTCATTTGTTCCTCTTCATCTCTCTCGCTTTCCCCTGCCCCTCGTCCCTCTCTCCCCTTCTCTCTCCCCTCCTCTCTCCCCTCCTCTCTCCCCTCCTCTCTCCCCTCCTCTCTCCCCTCCTCTCTCCCCTCCTCTCTCCCCCTCCTCTCTCCCCTCCTCTCTCCCTCCTGTCTCCCCTCCTCTCTCGCCTCCTCTCTCCCCTCCTCTCTCCCCTCCTGTCTCCCCTCCTCTCTCCCTCCTCTCTCCCCTCCTCGCTCCCTCCTCTTCCCCCTCCTCTCTTCCCTCCTCTCTCCCCTCCTCTCTCCCCTCCTCCCTTCCCTCCTCTCTCCCCTCATGCCACTAGCTTTCAGCGCAACCTAGAGGGCGTGTTGGTGGGAGCTGACAGGACCAAGGATCTCGCAGTGCTTAAGGTGAGGCGAGGGGTGGCAGTCAGCAATGGGGGGTTGCCAGGATGTGCTAGTGGGTTTCAGTGGGTTTCAGTGGGTTTCAGTGGGTTTCAGTGGGTGCTAGGGAGTGCTATTGCGTGTTCGTGGGAGCTGAGAGGACCAAGGATCTCGCAGTGCACAAGGTGAGGCTAGGGGTGGGGTGGGGCTAGGCTATTCGACAGAGGGGGGGTGTCAAGGTGTACCAGTGGGTGCTAGTGGGCGCTAGTGGGTGCTAGTGGGCGCTAGTGGGTGCTAGTGTGTGGTAGTGGGTGGGTGCTAGTTGATGCTCGTGGGTGCTAGTGGGTGCTAGTGGGTGCTAGTGGGTGCTAGTGGGTGCTAGTGGGTGCTAGTGGGTGCTGGTGGGTGCTAGTGGGTGCTAGTGGGTGCTAGTGGGTGCTGGTGGGTGCTAGTGGGTGCTAGTGGGTGCTAGTGGGTGCTAGTGGGTGCTGGTGGGTGCTAGTGGGTGCTGGTGGGTGCTAGTGGGTGCTGGTGGGTGCTAGTGGGTGCTGGTGGGTGCTAGTGGGTGCTAGTGGGTGCTGGTGGGTGCTAGTGGGTGCTGGTGGGTGCTAGTGGGTGCTGGTGGGTGCTAGTGGGTGCTGGTGGGTGCTAGTGGGTGCTGGTGGGTGCTAGTGGGTGCTAGTGGGTGCTGGTGGGTGCTAGTGGGTGCTGGTGGGTGCTAGTGGGTGCTGGTGGGTGCTAGTGGGTGCTGGTGGGTGCTAGTGGGTGCTAGTGGGTGCTAGTGGGTGCTGGTGGTGTGCTAGTGGGTGCTGGTGGGTGCTAGTGGGTGCTGGTGGGTGCTAGTGGGTGCTGGTGGGTGCTGTGGGTGCTAGTGGGTGCTGGTGGGTGCTAGTGGGTGCTGGTGGGTGCTAGTGGGTGCTGGTGGGTGCTAGTGGGGTGCTAGTGGGTGCTGGTGGGTGCTAGTGGGTGCTGGTGGGTGCTAGTGGGTGCTGGTGGGTGCTAGTGGGTGCTGGTGGGTGCTAGTGGGTGCTGGTGGGTGCTAGTGGGTGCTGGTGGGTGCTAGTGCGGATCAGCGCCTGTACGCCATCAGCATGAGGCAACTCCTTTGGCTTCGACCACGCGTGGTTCATGGCCCATGGCCCGTACACTATCAGCATTTGAGGCGCCTCAAAACCACGCGTGGTTCACGGCCCGTACACTATCGGCAACTTCTTAGGCTCGCACCGGGCGTGCCTTGGGGCCTCTTTCCCTCCTCTGCTCCCCCGTTTCCCCCCTCCTCTCCCCCCCCAGGTCAACACTCCTTCCAACCTCCTTTTGAGTCGACTCAAAGGCATTCTCCCTCCTCTCCCCCCCCAGGTCAATGCTCCTCCCAACCTCCTCCGCCCGCTCCCTCTCGGCGATTCCGCCTCCCTGCGTGTGGGTCAGCGCTCCTACGCCATCGGCAACCCCTTTGGCTTCGACCACACGCTCACAGCGGGGGTGCTCAGCGGTCTTAATAGGGACATCTACAGCGCAGCAGGAGTGGTGATCGCTGGGGGCGTGCAGACGGATGCGGCAATCAACCCTGGCAACAGGTATGCCTGCTTTGAATGTGCGACTTGTTTTTCTGTATGGGTGTTGATTTGATTGGCACAATGGCACCTACTTGGTATTCCATCAGGCCGACAAGGGTGTTGGTTGACTTATCGATCTTCCCTCCCTCCGAGAGGAGTGTATTTTTGCCTGGTTGACTGAGACCCCTCAAAAATAGACTCCTCACGCATGGTTGACTTATCCTCCTCCCCTCCCTTCGCTTCCCTCAGCGATGCTTCCCTCCTCAGAAACCATCTCCCTTTCTCTCTCCCTTTCTCTCTCTCTTTCTCACTCCCTTTATCTCCCCCCTCTTACGCCCCTCTCCACCCAATCAGTGGCGGACCTCTGCTTGACTCAACTGGCAGCCTTATCGGCATCAACACTGCCATCTTCACCAACACAGGTGGGTGCGGCACAGGTGGGTGGGGCGCAGGTTGGCGGGACGCAGGTGGGCGGGGCGCAGGTGGGTGGGGCACAGGCGCCTCATAAGTCCTTACAGCAGCAGGCTGCTTTGCTTTTGAGTCGAATCAGAAACGAACTCAGGTGGGTTCAACATGGGTTGTTCCGCATCCTCTCACCCCTGACTTCCACCCCCACCCCAATCCTCTCCCTCCTCTCACCTCCCACCAGGCATGTCTGCTGGGGTGGGATTTGCCATCCCACACACTCCATCGTTCCGCGACCCGTCTCACTACCCCTCGTCTCACCCCTCCCTCGTCTCACCCCTCCCACCAGGCACGTCTGCTGGGGTGGGATTTGCCATCCCTATAGCAGTGGTGGGATTTGCCATCCCTATAGCAGTGGTGGGATTTGCCATCCCTATAGCAGTGGTGGGATTTGCCATCCCTATAGCAGTGGTGGGATTTGCCATCCCTATAGCAGTGGTGGGATTTGCCATCCCTATAGCAGTGGTGGGATTTGCCATCCCTATAGCAGTGGTGGGATTTGCCATCCCTATAGCAGTGGTGGGATTTGCCATCCCTATAGCAGTGGTGGGATTTGCCATCCCTATAGCAGTGGTGGGATTTGCCATCCCTATAGCAGTGGTGGGATTTGCCATCCCTATAGCAGTGGTGGGATTTGCCATCCCTATAGCAGTGGTGGGATTTGCCATCCCTATAGCAGTGGTGGGATTTGCCATCCCTATAGCAGTGGTGGGATTTGCCATCCCTATAGCAGTGGGATTTGCCTCCGCGTCCTCTCAACCCCACCCCCCCACACCCCCGCCTCCCACCTCCCACCCCCCATCAGGCACATCTGCGGGTGTGGGCTTTGCAATTCCTGCAGTGGTTGTGGCGCGAGTTGTTCCTCAGATCATCCAGTACGGAAAGGTGGGTCAATCCGTTGTGCAGATCAGTTGAAATGGCTTCTGAAAGCATGTGGTTAAGTCGAGGTGCGGGCTGTGTGAGGTCCAACCACACGCAGGAAAACATTGGTTTTTTATAATTCTCTAATACATATCACATTTAGCTTTCACACATAGGAGAGCAATCGTTTTTTAGAATTCTCTAATACTTCTCACATGTAGCTTTCACACGCAAGAAAATAATGGTTTTTTAGAATTCTCTAAAACAAAACACATGTAGCTTTCACACAGAGGAGAGCAATGTTCATTAGAATTCTCTAATACATATTGCATGTAGCTTTTACATCGAAGAAAACAATGTTTTTAAAGAATTTGCTAATGCATATCACATGTAGCTTTTGCACACAGGAAAACAAGGGTTTTTTTTTATTCTCTAATACTTATCACATGTAGCTTTCACACATACGAGAGCAATGCTTTTCTATAAGTTTCTAATACATATCACATGTAGCTTTCACATGCAGGAAAATAATGGTTTTCTAGAATTATCTAATACATACCACATGTAGCTTTCACACGAAGGAAAATTAGTTGGGTATCACATGCAGGTACTGAGTATCCAATACACAGGGTCTCCGTGTTCAGGAGAGACATTATATATGAGGAGCGCACTCAGACGCACAACACTCTCCATTATGTTTGGGATATCAACTTGTCCATTTTAACATGTTGCCGTTACCATGTTACCATGTTAGCACTTCTCCAGTCGTGTCACTAAGCTCACCGAATATGCGAGCTTGGTGAAGTTGCTTGGTGAATAAGTTGCCGAATATGCGAGCTTGGTGAAGTTGCTTGGTGAATAAGTTGCCGAATATGCGAGCTTGGTGGAGTTGCCGGAAACAAGTCATCCGGCCCTTCGTCAGCACCAAGTCATCCGGCCCTTTGAAGCCTCCAGCTGGCGTCAGATCAGGCGGCATTGCCTGGCAGCTCAGCTGAAGAGAATTTAACCTATCCCCTATCCTCTCTTCCCTCCCCGTCCCCCCCCCCCCCACCCCCAACCCCACCCCCCTGCCTGCATCCCGCCTCTTCATCCCCCCGCCCACCCCCGCCTACCTCCTGTCTCGTGTGCATATGCATCTCCAGGTCATCCGGCCATCCTTGAGCCTGCAGCTGGCGGCTGATGGCATTGCCAGGCAGCTGGGCGTGGCAGCAGGGGCGCTTATCCTAGGGGTGAGTGTGCGGCTGTCGGTGCATGGAGCATATTATGCAATTTGAATGCTTAAAACCTGGTCCGTGCATGGCTTTTGAGTGCTCTAAAGGTGGTTTGTGCATTGCTATTGAATGGCCTATGTATGGCTTTTACCATGACTCATGCATCCTATAGCTACACATCCATGCGTGCTTTTCTGACGACTACAAAATCACCTTGCATGGTATAGCTACACATCCATGCGTTATCCACAATATTGCCATGCTTTCCAGATTCGTAAAAGAAGCAACAATCTGTGCACCCCACCCCACACAGCTGTGCCACCTCCTTCCCCGCTCTCCCTCCTCTCTCCCCCTCGTCCTCCCTCTCCACCAGGTGAAGCCAGGGTCATCAGCAGCCACAGCAGCCGTGCCAGCCACAAGGAGCGGGCATACCCACCCATTTCCGTGCCACTACTTTCTCCTCTCCTCGCTCTCGTCCTCTCTCCCCCCTCCCCCTCCTCTCCCCCCCCCCTCTCCCTCCTCTCTCCCCCCTCTCCCTTCTCTCTCCCCCTCTTTCTGCTCTCTCCCCCCTCTCCCTCCACTCCCTCCTCTCCCTCCTCCTGCCCCCACTCTCCGCCAGGTGAAGCCAGGGTCATCAGCAGCCAAGGCAGGCGTGACGGCCACAAGGAGAGGGTTTGCCGGCAACATCGTGCTGGGAGATGTGATTGTGGGCATTGACAAGTACACTGTGAGTGTTTTATAAGAACAATGTGCGTGTTATTAAGTGCACTCTGAGCGACAAGAAGAGTGTTTGCCGGCAACATCATGCTGGGAAATGTGATTGTAGCAATCGATAATTACGCTATAATTGTCTTGAATCTATAACATTGTCTGTTCGTTTGTTGGCTGTTTATATTGGCTTGTAACTCCCTGTTTTGCTCCCATATCAAACCCTTGGCAAACGATATGTGCAAATGCGTATACAGGTGAAGATGGCTGCTGATGTGGATAAGGCCCTTGATGACCTGTCAGTGGGCCAAACTGTGCCACTTCAAGTACTTAGGAATGGTGAGAAGGTGACAGTGCAAGTTGTTCTTGAAGAGTCGTCTTAGGGACTAGATTAGCAACAAATATTACCCATGGTACGACGCTTAGAGATTCTGGGATTATGAAACGCTAGCTGTAGCATACAAGGTCAAGCCATATGCAAGTCATCTTCATTATAATATCAGCTTGTCACTGCATATACCTCCCTGTAATCCTTTCAATATAGAGGTGTACAGTTGTTTCGATCCATATTCAGTAATCCGTCTTCTCTAGGCTATTACAGGCCCTCCACGTGGGTGGCTCCGCAACACGGTCCAATCAGTTTGTGACGCGCCAGATGGAATCTTAATCTCAGCGCTCGCATAGCTCCCACGCGACGGCACGACATTAGGGTTACCATTCGTAACACCTTGGGGCCATAGATTTCTCCTGGTGTCAGGTCTGGTCTGGAGGCCAGGATCCGGCCTAGGTGCATGCACTACAGAGTCCTAAGAGCTTGCCGAATAGTCGCGAGCGAGTTAGACTGTAGGAAGCACCATCACCACTGCCATCGAGAAGGACCGCAGTGTCTGTGACTCGCTTTTCCGTAAGCGTTGTCAACGGTGCGTGGATTTCTTCACGCTTCGATACAACATTCTACAAGCTCCTCCTACAATTTTCGTGGAGAATGCTGGGTCAAGCTCAGCATGCTCCCTGCTCTCCCTACCTACATTGCTCCGAAGCGTTTCGCCAAAATTCGTCTCGCCGGAATTCAGTAGTAACCGTATGGGGTCCGTCTAACCACCCGGCGCGCCAGCACAACAGGAAGCTTCCTCGGAATGCACGTGTTAATCATGCAGATCCTTCGAAGCTTCCTCGCAGGCATTTCCTTATACGCGCGTCGCAATCGGGCGATGTTGGTAGCAGCAAGAGCGCAGCGCAAACACCGGGCGAGAGTAGATTGAAGGCCATTAGAGATGCTACCGGAGTCAAAAGCGGAGCGACCGCCGGAAAATCCGGCGGAGGAGACGGCGGGGATAGCGGTAGCAGCGGTAGTAGCAGCGCAGCGCAATCGGCGCTGGAACGAGCGCTAGCGTATAAGGCTCAGCGGCAGCAGCAGCAGCAGCAGCAGGGAGAGTCGGCAACAACCGCTGCGGCAATAAGCGCCGGCAGTGGTAACACTCCCGATGGCGGCATCTCAAGCAGCAGCAATGGCGGCACCGCTGCGTCTGCTACTAGCGGCGCTGCAACCGCTGCTTCCGATGTTACCAGTGGTAACCCTGTCACCGCTACTCCTGCTGCCACAAGCACCAGCAGTCCCAGCAGCAGCAGCGGCGGCGTGCGATCGTACGCGGATCAGGTAGCGGAAATGGAGGCAGCAGAAGAAGCCAGTGGCACCAGCAATCTCAGCAGCAGCAGTCTCAGCAACAGCAGCGGCGGCGTGCGATCGTACGCGGATCAGGTAGCTGAAATGGCGGCAGCGCTGGCAGCACGGGAGGCAGACCCCGTTGCACAGCAGCAGAAGCAGAAGCAGAAGGAGGGGGAGGGGAAAGAGACAGAGGACGATCCAGATATTATCGAGGTGGAGATTGTAACGAGGGACGGCATCATCAAGCGCCGCACCAAGCGCTCGGAAATGGAGTGGGGAGGGTCCGGTGCCAAGGGCGGTACCGCCAAGCCAGGAGGCCTCCCCACCAGCGCCGGAAGCGGCGGAATCGGCGGCGGGTTTATGGGGAATCCCGGGATAGCCGGGGCGCGCGCCCGAAGCGCGCCGTCTGTGTCGCCTCTGTCCGTATCCGGAGCGGATTTCCTGGGATTGGGGTTTCAGGAGGAGCGGGAAAAGCTGCAGGGCCGCGGGAAGGGCCCGCTGCCAGCTGGCCTGCAGGGTGACGTGGACTTCGGAGCGGCCACGTCAGCAGGGGGGCTGCCCCAGGTGGAGATGATCGTCGGGTCGCGCGTGATTACAAAGAGGGGGGAGGTTTCGGGGGAGCAGCAGCAGCAGGGGGAGGGGGAAGGGGGAGCGGAGGGAGGGGGGAAGGGGAGTGGGGAGGGCGAGTATAAGCCAAAGGTTGCGACCTGGGGAGTGTTCCCGAGACCAAGAGACATCTCTAGAACGGTAAGGGCGTGGTGCAGCCGTTCCGTACCGTTCCGAACCGTTCCGAACGGTAAGCGATATGCAGAGGAAAGGGGGAGGGGAGGGGGAGCGGGAGGGAGTGGCAGTAGAAGCCAACAGCGAAGCAGAATGAAATAACCTTTTGTGCTGTCTTCCCTTCGCCTCAGCTCGGCTCCCCCGTTGCCCTGATGGTACGGTGGGGGTCGCATTATCCGACCCCTCCTCATCCTTGAGACGGCGCCTCAAAAATAGACGCTCGGCTCCCCCATTACACGCGGTTTTGGGTCGACTCAAGAGGAGGGGAAGAGGGAGAGGGAGGGGGAGGGGGTGAGACGTTTCCTCTCGCATGCGCGTGTTGCTTCCTCCACTCTCCCCTTCGCCTCTGCACGTGTTGTCTCCCCCATCCTCCCTTTCTGTACACTGGGGGTCGCACCATCCGGCCAGGGGAGGCTCTGGAAACAGAGGAGGAGAAGAGGGAGAGGGAGGAGAAGATGTGGTGACCGCCCCCACTCTCCTCGGGCATTCCCTTCCCTCCCCTCCTCTCCCTCCTTCACCCGTCCTCCCCCCTACAGTATGGCGGGGGTCGCACCATCCGGCCTGGGGAGGCGCTGGAAACGGAGGAGGAGAAGAAGGAGAGGGAGGAGAAGACGAGGAGGCTGCTGGACGAATACAACCGCCGCATGGGCTTTAAGATGGACCCCGCGGTTAAGGCGGCGTGTGAGGAGGTAAGTGAGATGGTGAAAGAGGCTTGTGTGTCATGAAGGGCTTTAAGATGGACCCCGCTGTCAATGCGGGAAAACAAGGCGTTGCTTGTGGCCTCAAGGCACACAGGCATGGAGCGGAGCTGGAAATTGCTGCGTTTTGAGATTGGTGAAATGTTGAGTTTGAGGTGCAGACTGGGGGGCGCACTGCAGACTGGGGGGCGCACTGCAGACTGGGGGGCGCACTGCAGACTGGGGGGCGCACTGCAGACTGGGGGGCGCACTGCAGACTGGGGGGGGAGGGGGGCGCACTGCAGACTGGGGGGCGCACTGCAGACTGGGGGGCGCACTGCAGACTGGGGGGCGCACTGCAGACTGGGGGGCGCACTGCAGACTGGGGGGCGCACTGCAGACTGGGGGGCGCACTGCAGACTGGGGGGCGCACTGCAGACTGGGGGGCGCACTGCAGACTGGGGGGCGCACTGCAGACTGGGGGGCGCACTGCAGACTGGGGGGCGCACTGCAGACTGGGGGGCGCACTGCAGACTGGGGGGCGCACTGCAGACTGGGGGGCGCACTGCAGACTGGGGAGCGCACAGTCATGCAGGAGGGAGAGGGGCAGGCTGAGGGACGCACTGCAGCAGTTCGATTGAATGTGGTCAGACAGAGCACCTTGCTCTCTTGCCCTTCTCACCCACCCACAGGCCACGAGGCAGGGAGCAGCGCTCATGCAGAGGGGTAGCTTAGGGTCGCACTGCAGCAGTCTGGCGTGGTCATGGATCTGCCACAGTCTGGCACTCATGGATCTGCCACAGTCTGGCACTCATGGATCTGCCACAGTCTGGCACTCATGGATCTGCCACAGTCTGGCACTCATGGATCTGCCACAGTCTGGCACTCATGGAGCTGCCACAGTCTGGCACTCATGGATCTGCCACAGTCTGGCACTCATGGATCTGCCACAGTCTGGCACTCATGGATCTGCCACAGTCTGGCACTCATGGAGCTGCCACAGTCTGGCACTCATGGATCTGCCACAGTCTGGCACTCATGGATCTGCCACAGTCTGGCACTCATGGAGCTGCCACAGTCTGGCACTCATGGAGCTGCCACAGTCTGGCACTCATGGAGCTGCCACAGTCTGGCACTCATGGATCTGCCACAGTCTGGCACTCATGGATCTGCCACAGTCTGGCACTCATGGATCTGCCACAGTCTGGCACGCAGTGTGGTCATGGCTATCAGATCACCTTCCCTCCTTCCCTCCTTTTCTGACCCCCCCACCCACAGGCCATGAGGGAGGGGGCAGCGCTGATGGAGGTGGGCAAGCTGAGAGACGCACTGCAGCAGTTGGACGTGGTGATCGCCACGACCACCTTCCAGAAACGAGATGCGGTGTTGGCTCTGACCAGCGTCCCCCACTGCCCCTTCTTCCCCTCCCTCCCTCCCTCCCTCTGCACCCACAGGCCATGAGGGAGGGAGCAGCGCTGATGGAGGGGGGCAAGCTGAGGGACGCGCTGCAGCAGTTCGACGTGGTGATCGCCAAAACCACCTTCCAGAACGAGATGCACGGCCGGGCGGCCATCCAGAAGGCCGTCTGCCTCGACTCGCTTGCCAGGTAAGCCCCCAATCACAGAAATGGTACGCTCTTAGCAAGGGGAAGAGTCTACGCCCTTGGCAGTGCGATGTGGTCATTGCCAAAAGCAGTGGGGCGTGCATCAGAGGTAGCAGCAGCTCGTTGTGACGCGGTGATCGCGTAAACCGCCTTCCATAACGAGATGCACGGCAGGGCGGCCATCCAGAAGGCCGTGTGCCTCGACTCGCTTGCTATGTGGGTGAGTAGCCTTGACTTGTTGCCATGGTGTTGCCATGGTGTTGCCGTGGTGTTGCCGCGGTGTTGCCGTGGTGTTGCCGTGGTGTTGCCGTGGTGTTGCCGTGGTGTTGCCATGGTGTTGCCATGGTGTTGCCGTGGTGTTGCCATGGTGTTGCCATGGTGTTGCCGTGGTGTTGCCATGGTGTTGCCATGGCGTTGCAACAGGGGTTGCCCAGTGACCCCGCACTGAGCAGTTTGAAGTGGCGATTCAAACTGCCACTTGTTGTTACCATGGCAACAAGTCAAGGCGCACCACTGCCTTGCAGAACGAGAGGCACGGCAGGGCGGCCATCCAGAAGGCCGTCTGCCTCGACTCGCTTGCCAGGTGAGTCACTTACCAGCGAAGCAAGCAACAGGAGATCACCACGCTCAGGGGTGCACCGCGCTCTGAGCAGTAGGGAGTGCCCTTGGGTCAAACCACCACTGCTTTCCACAACGAGATGCACGGCAGGGCGGCCATCCAGAAGGCCGTCTGCCTCGACTCGCTTGCCAGGTGAGTCACTTACCAGCGAAGCAAGCAACAGGAGATCACCACGCTCAGGGGTGCACCGCGCTCTGAGCAGTAGGGAGTGCCCTTGGGTCAAACCACCACTGCTTTCCAGAACGAGATGCACGGCAGGGCGGCCATCCAGAAGGCCGTCTGCCTCGACTCGCTTGCCAGGTGAGTCACTTACCAGCGAAGCAAGCAACAGGAGATCACCACGCTCAGGGGTGCACCGCGCTCTGAGCAGTAGGGAGTGCCCTTGGGTCAAACCACCACTGCTTTCCAGAACGAGATGCACGGCAGGGCGGCCATCCAGAAGGCCGTCTGCCTCGACTCGCTTGCCAGGTGAGTCACTTACCAGCGAAGCAAGCAACAGGAGATCACCACGCTCAGGGGTGCACCGCGCTCTGAGCAGTAGGGAGTGCCCTTGGGTCAAACCACCACTGCTTTCCAGAACGAGATGCACGGCAGGGCGGCCATCCAGAAGGCCGTCTGCCTCGACTCGCTTGCCAGGTGAGTCACTTACCAGCGAAGCAAGCAACAGGAGATCACCACGCTCAGGGGTGCACCGCGCTCTGAGCAGTAGGGAGTGCCCTTGGGTCAAACCACCACTGCTTTCCAGAACGAGATGCACGGCAGGGCGGCCATCCAGAAGGCCGTCTGCCTCGACTCGCTTGCCAGGTGAGTCACTTACCAGCGAAGCAAGCAACAGGAGATCACCACGCTCAGGGGTGCACCGCGCTCTGAGCAGTAGGGAGTGCCCTTGGGTCAAACCACCACTGCTTTCCACAACGAGATGCACGGCAGGGCGGCCATCCAGAAGGCCGTCTGCCTCGACTCGCTTGCCAGGTGAGTCACTTACCAGCGAAGCAAGCAACAGGAGATCACCACGCTCAGGGGTGCACCGCGCTCTGAGCAGTAGGGAGTGCCCTTGGGTCAAACCACCACTGCTTTCCACAACGAGATGCACGGCAGGGCGGCCATCCAGAAGGCTGTGTGCCTCGACTCCCTTGCTAGGTGCGGTAAACAGTCTTGACCTCACCTACCATCGGAGCAAGCGACAGGGGTAGACCATGCTGTGACGACAGGGGTAGACCATGCTGTGACGACAGGGGTAGACTATGCTCTGACGACAGGGGTAGACTATGCTCTGACGAAGCCAAGGCGGTGTATGACGTTCTGATGGGGTGTTGGAACGAGGGAGGTGGGGGAAGGGGGGGACCAATTGAGGGGACGGGAAGCTGGGGGAGGGGGCTGGGGAGCGCGGGGCGGGGGTCACAAATGCAAGCTCGAATCTCATTCACACGCCTCTGCCACTCACTTGTCCCCCACCCATCCACTTTCTCTCGCCAGGTCAGACGAGGCCAGGGCCATGAACGAGCGGCTGACAGGGCATCCCAACGAGGGGGGTTGGGGGTGGTCACATATGCAAGCTCGAATGTCGCTCACTTGTCCCCCTCCCCTCACCAGGTCAGACGAGGCCAGGGCCATGTATGAGCGGCTGACAGGGCATCCCAACAAGGGGGTCATAAATGCTAGCTCAAACTTCATCAACGCACTGCTTGCCCCTCACCCACCCACCCAAACCACGCCCCGCCTCCTCCTACACCAGGTCAGACGAGGCCAAGGCGATGTATGAGAGGCTCACAGGGCATCCCAATGAGGGGGTCAAGAGGAAAGCCCGGCAAATGCTGTTTGGCTTCCAGGTGAGGCAGATGCTGTTTGGCTTTAAGGTGAGGCGGATGCTGTTTGGCTTCCAGGTGAGGCGGATGCTGTTTGGCTTTAAGGTGAGGCGGATGCTGTTTGGCTTTAAGGTGAGGCGGATGCTGTTTGGCTTCCAGGTGAGGCGGATGCTGTTTGGCTTTAAGGTGAGAGTCTCGGCCTAATCAGGTGCTGGCAGGGCATTGAATGACGGGGTCAAGAGGAAAGCCCGGCAGATGCTGCTTGGCTTCTAGGTGAGGCGGATGCCATGCTCGTTTGCCATCTCCTCTTGCTCGTGCTGCTCTGAGACTTCTAAATTAGTTTACCTTCAAGTGGTGCTTGTGTTAGCTCTAGGTGCCACGTGTTTTTAAGCATGTACTAAAATCCGGTTGCCTTTAGGGGGGGGGTGGGGGGGGAGGGGTGTACTACAGCCATGCCCTTTTTGTTATCACTGACCCATTTGTCGTTGCGTGCGTTGTTGCGACAGGCAGCTGAGAGTCTGCGTTTCACTGGTGGTTCTGATTACGACTCGTCTTGGTACAAGAAATACTTTGACGAGTTTGCGAAAGGTTCCAAGTACAATAATGTCTTCAAGGCAACTCAGGAGGACGAGGATGAAAGCAATAAACGCCTGTTGCAGGATGCTTTGTTGTTCGGGGCTTTGTTGCTCATGCCTGTTGTACTTATCTTGGCAGTGGCTGTGTCAAGGAATACAGCCTGAAGATGTTCGTCTATTATGGTATGCTGAGAATTATCTGTTGAAGTACTTAAACATGTTAGGAACATATATGTATATAACTCCTGTAGCCGAGGTAGCTTCTGTTCTAAGAGGGTACCACCCCTACCCACAACTGCACCCCAATCCCTTCGTCAGCCCATGCCTTGCCCAGCGCCAGCTGCCAGCTCGCCCGCACGCTAGCCAACTAGCTAGCCAGCCAGCTAGCCAGCCAGCCAGCCGCCAGCCCGCAAGCCGCAAGCCGCCAGCCGCCAGCCGCCAGCCAGCTAGCCAGCCAGCCAGCCAGCCGCCGCCAGCCAGCCAGCCGCTCCCGCCAGCAAGCTAGCCAGCCAGCCAGTCGCCAGCCAGCTAGCCACCAGCCAGCCTCCAGCCAGCTAGCCAGCCGCCAGCCAGCTAGCCAGCCAGCCAGCCATCGCAAGCCATCCAGCCGCTCCTGCTCCAGCCGGCCAGCTAGCCAGCCAGCCTCCGCCAGCCAGCTAGCCAGCCAGCCAACCGCCAGCCAGCTAGCCAGCTGCCAGCCGCTTGCTACCACCCCGCCGCCAGCTAACTGCCACTGCCGCCAAACTGCCATTCGCTGCCCCTGCCGCCAGCCTGCCGCTAGCCGCCGCCGCTGCCAGCCCCCCCGTGCTGCCGCTGCTGCCAGCCTGCCGCTAGCCGCCTCTGCTGCCAGCCTGCCACTGCCGCCAGCTTGCCGCTAGCCGCCACTGCTGTCCGCCAGCTCCCAGCCACCAGCGGCTCGACCGCCACTATGGCCACAGCCGGCACTGCTACTACCACCGTTCGTGCCCCTGCAGCCCCTAGCGCCTCCCACTAGTCTCCTCCTCATTTCTGGAGTTCCTCGCTCTCCGCCTACAACTGGTGAGCCAGCTCGTAGACTGCAAGCTCACATTACTTCTCTCACTGGCTTCTGGCTCCACGACCTCGAGGTACGCTACAAGGCTGCCTGCCCTGCACCCCGGCAGCAGCAGCAGCCGCCGCCGTTGCGGCAGCAGCAGTAGCCGCGGCGAGGTCCTGGGAGTGTTGGGCACGGTGGAGGTCCTGGAGGTTGGGCCCTGGGGCGTTCACTGCCCTAGGGCCCGCATGTTTTTTCAGGAGGCCCGGGGGCCTGGGGGCCTAGGTCCCACTACTGTGTGTAGTCTAGAAGCCTCTACTACGTAACGACTAGGCTCCTCCCCTCCCCCTCCTACGGAGGCCCTCTCCTTCACACTGGACTCTGGCGCATCCCACTGCTTCTTCTGAGACCGCACTTCTCTCACCCCACTTCCTGCACCGGTACCGGTCTCCCTAGCACACTCCCCAGCCACAGTAGTCGCACGCAGCACCACCACTCTCCCCTGTCCAGCTATCCCCTCTGGCTCCCTCACAGGTCTGCACATCTCCACATTTGTCAGGAAATTAGTTGGTATAGGTCACATTCAGTGCCTAGGAGTCACCACCACTTTTGACCGTGACCACGAGAGATACGCAGCCTGTACAGACACAGCCCCGGGCGCCAGTCTAGCCACTTTTGACCGTGACCCAGCATCTGGTCTCTTCACGCTGCACACAGAGTCCTCGCCCGTTGCTGTGTCCACAAAGGTAGCCGCGTCGTGCTCCTTGCTCCCTCGCCTAACCGATTCTCTGGCACCACCGCTTAGGTTATCCTGTGCTCCCGCATCTCTATCACATGTCATAGCACGGTCTAGTGACAGGTCTTCCTGTATCGCTCCCACCCCTGCCTGAGTTGGTAGTGCCCCTGTACACCTCCTGCGTCGAGGGCCGGCAGGGCGCCGCTCCTCACTCCTCGTTTCCTCCTACCACATCACCGCTACAGACGCTGCACATGGATGTCTGAAGCCCCGCCCCGGTCCATGGTCTTAGCAGGGAGTGCTTCCTCCTGGCCGTTGTTGACATTCACGCGCTTCATCACGGAGTTCTCGCTGGAGCGGAAGGCCACATGCCTGACGCTCTCATCCCGTGACTGCTCGCCGCCCGCCCATGGTCCGTCTGCACTCTGATCGTGGTGGCGAGTTTGCCTCCGGCCGTCTTGGCATATTCTACCGTGCATAGGGCATCATCCAAACATACACACTGCCGCACTCCACAAAACAGAATGGGGTAGATAAGAGAAACATTGGCCTGGTCATAGAGGTAGCTCCCACCTCCCTTGTCCACGCGGGTACACCCCATTTTTTATGGCCATACTATACGTAGTGCGTTGCACAACTCACCTGCGCTCCTTGCGCCGACCCTTCTCTGGACCAGGTCCCCTGGTGCCGCCTCTGCATTCCACATCTGGGGCAACCTTACTCACATCTGCGCTACTGGCACGGACAAGCTCTCAACCCACCCTCTCCCTTGTTTCTTGCTTGGGTTTCCGCTTGACGCCCCTGATTGGCTGTTCTACCGCTCGCGTGACGTTACCTGGTTCCCTACTACACCCGCTTCCTCCACCATAGCTCTTGTGTTCCTCCTCCTCCTCTCTTCCTTGCCCCTACCCCGCCTGCTGCACCCCTCCCACCCCGCCCTGCCCCGTCTGATGTCTCTCACGTCACCCGGTTCCCCTCGGTTGGGCCCGTGGGGGAGTTTGCTGAATCTTGGGGCCCTGTCGATGCGGGTGCACTTGCCGCCCGTGCGGCGCCTTCTCCTCCAGCTCCGGTGCCCCAGGCACCTTAGCAGCCTCACCCCTCACCATATTAGCAGCAGCAGCTGCAGCAAGGGCAAGAGGCTGTGGCCTCTAGGGGTGCTGGTTCTGGGGGTGCTGGTTCTGCGGGTGCTGGCTCTGAGGATGCTGGTTCTAGGGGTGCTAGGTTCAGGGATGCTAGTCCTAGGGGTGCTGACTCGGAGAGTACTGGCGGTGTTGGGGCTAGGGGTCCTGGCGTGGGTCGGGAGGAGGAGCAGCAGCAGCCGCAACAAAAGCAACAGCAGCCGCAGTCTCCTCCACCGCCTTCCCCTTTGCCCCCGCACCCGCCAGTTCATCCTTCACATCCCTCGCCCTTCCTCCTACCACGCCACTACCTACGCTGGCACCACTACCTCTCCCCCACTCTCCCGTCCCCACAACCACCGTCCTCCTCCCTTGCTCCCTCTCCCTGCTCCTACCGCGCATCCTCCCATCCCGCTGTCCTCCTCCACCACCGCCTCGGCCATCCCAACTTTGCCACCCTCCGTGCATCCATTCCATCTCGCCTTCTCCATGGTCTCCCCCCTTCCTCCCACCTCTCCCCTCCTCCCCTACACCCACTTGCTCCTCCTGTCTCCATGGCAAGCTCAAGCAGCAGCCCCATCATAGCCACCCCTCCTTCGTCACCGCCCCCATTGATCTGGTTCACATGGACCTCTAGGGAACCAATCCCTCCCGCCATGGCCACATGTACATGCTCGTCCTCGATGATGACCACAGCCGCTACTCCTCAGTCTTTCTTCTCCACACGAAAGTTGAGGCGGTTGTTGTCATCATTCGCTGGGCTAAGCAGGCCCGCACTCACTTCAGCTGCCCTGTTCGCCGCTTCCACTCGGACGGTGGAGGGGAGTTTCTTAATCATACTCTTTCCTCCTATTGCACCGCTCATGGCACTAAGCAAACCCACACCCTTCCCCATTCCCCCCAGCATAATGATGTCGTCGAGAGCCGCATTCGTGAGATTACTAAAACAGCGCGCTGCCTTCTCAACCATGCCTCCATCCCCCCCTCTCTTTGGGGCTATGCTCTCCTCCATGCTGCTCTTCTCACCAACCTCTACCCCCACCCCCAGGGCACCTCCTCCACTCCCACAAAACTCTGGGCATCATCCAAGCCTGATGCAACGGTCTTCCGCGTCTGGGGATGCAAGGCGTTTGTCCTTATCCCCCCAGCCGACCGATCACGCTCGGCCATCAAGCTTGTCTCTAAGGCCCTGGAGTGTGTCTACTTGGGGCACGCTCGTGACTCTCCTGGCTACCTGTTCTTACACCCCCCTTCCAGCCGCTTCCTCAAGAGCTGTGATGTCGTGTTTGATGAGAGGGTTCCATACAATGCCTCTCCTCCTCTTGTCGACCCCCTCCCCGCTCCCTCTCGCCCTCTCACATAGGCTGACACTGTCCCCCCCCCGCTCCTTCCCCAAGCTCCTCTCCTCCCTCCTCCGCTGCCTCCCCCTCCACCTTCTCCTCCTCCCCCATCCTTGGGCAAAATCCATGATCATGTTGCCCCCCCATCCCCCACCCACTCTGCTACCGATTCCCCATCCTCCCAGCAGCCGCTGACGGAGGATCAGCAGCAGCAGCAGCATCAGCAGCAGCAGCAGCAGCAGCAGCAGCAGCAGCAGCAGCAGCAGCAAGAGCACCAGGAGCAGTAGCAGCACCCACAAGAGCTCCCGCCGCAGCAGCAGCAGCAGCACCCTCCACCCCTTGGTGGCGGCCAGATCTCCGTTCCGTCTCCCTCCATGCCCCGCCGCACATCCTCTTCTTTCCTCCTCCCGCGTGCTCACACGCGCTCCATGGATCCCGTCCTTGGTCTCTCCAACCTCTCTGCCCCTCCACGGGAGGACTCTCATGTGGAGTTCATTGCCGTTCAGCAGTACGCTCCACACCTCCTCCCACTCTACACTGGTTTCCTTGGCTTCATGGTGCTCGGTGCATCCTCCTCCCCCTCCATCTACGTCCCCGGAGATTTTTGGGAGGCCATCACCAGCCCTGACGCGGACAAGTGGATCCCCGCCATTTTTCACGAGGTTGAGGCGTTCATCCGCAAGAAGTCTTTCGTTGACGTGATTCCTCCTCCCGGCGCTAATATCGTCAAAGGAAAATGAGTTTTTCGGGTGAAGCAGTTATCTGGCGAGGAGCCGGTCTACAAGGCCCGCTACTACGCCAAGGGCTTCACCCAAACCTGGAGCATCGACTACAGGGATATTTTTTCTCCCACAGCCAAGCTTCCCACCATCCGGGTGCTGCTCGACTTCGCCGCCCGCATGGCCGTGGTGATTTGCTGCACGGACGTCTCCAAACCGTTCATGCAAGGCAAACTGCGTGAAAATTTCCTCATGCGGCGACCCCCGGGATTCCATGGAACCTTCCCGCCCGACACCGTCTGGGAGCTTCGTCGCGCAGTCTATGGCTTGAAGCAGGTGCCTC